CGGGTCTCAATTCTGTTGCTTAAGTCAGTTCCTGGGTTGTGTCCTGGGTGAGGAAGTGCTCTTGCAGAGCAGACTACACCGCAAAGCTCCTCTCCTCTGACAATGGATCAGCACTTCCAAGCGACCATGGCAATACACAAACTTGGGGCAAGTCATTCCGGGTGCCAAGCTATGCGCCTCAGGTTGTTTTCATGTAGGTACGCACGCGAATTGAGCTTTGGGGCTGCTTCAACCTGGGTCCACAAGCTGAATTCCTCCCGCAGCTCCAATTGCCATGTGAAGGACAGCCATTTGCACGGTTAACGTCGCTGGTACATGTCTCTACGTCTTCAGTGTCAACAGTGAGGGAATAAATCCATGCTGAACGTATGGTTGTGCCCTAGAACGCAAATGCCTGTTGGATTGGCGGCCTTGGAGTCAACATCCAAATTCAACCCAACAGGGCAAGTCATGTCCTCATTGTTTCCAACGACAAATGCCACCAAAAGGCTCTGGCCCAGACTTATTCCCAAGAGCGATGTCGGTGGAGCAAGATTATCTCGCTTCCAAGAACAGCATCTCTCAGGCCTTGACATTCACCATGTTCAAGTCACCCAGATTGAAGGAAATACCCTGGTTGAGTGGAATCCATGTTGGTTGGTGGGAGGGCACACCAGAAACAATCAAAATAACGACCCAATGCGGGCCCATGCCAACCTCTGGTCCCCTTTAAACCACGCAGAAGTTGCGACCACAAATTGCAGGGTTTAACATGCTTCAACAAGGAGTTGGCTCAACCCTATCATTCTCGCCCCTCCCCTTCCCCACCCTTTCCCGGCCTCCTCCGGCACATGCTCCAGCGCCCGCTTGCCGCCGCGCCCGCACACCGCGCCTCTGGCCGCACGAAAGACCGCCAGCGCGCGGACACCGCCTGCCGACGCCCTGACGCAAATGGCGCAGGAGGTGCCAGCGAAGCGCCGCAGACGGCTCAGCAGCTCCTAGGTTTCATGTGAGCGGTCAATCTGAGCTCCCAAGACAGGGGAAATTTGGGGGTTGTTCGGGAGCCCGGGTCTTCTTGGGGCGTGATCTAGTAAAAAGGACCATCAACCACCAATAGTGCTGACCGTAACTCATCTTGGCAAAATGCAACCCTCAAACTCCTCGCTTGCGCCGAAATCCCTGGCAGGGACTTCGAGAAAAAAGAAGAAGAAAGTACCTTGAAACCAAAGGAAGCCATCCAATCTTCTACCCAAAGTTGGTTTGTCCATGCCCACGCTCGCTGAGCGAGCCCCCCCGTCCGTCCTGGAAGCTGAGCTGCCGCATTTGGAGCACCAGTCGGACCTGGTGCCCCACGTCCGCCCAGAGCTCCTGGGAGTTCAAGTGCTCCACCTCGGCTGCCGACGGAGCGAGCACCCCGCAGGATTGGGGGCCCCAAAAAATGCAAAAACTCGCCTCTTGGTTGGGACACCAGCCCCCCCCGAATATTGTAAGAAGAGAGGTGGAACATGTCCTTCTTCAACACCTGGTACCAAAGGGGGGCAAACAGGTCACTTAGGGATCGCTCAAACGGTTCACTTAGGGATCACGGTCACTTAGGGATACACACTCACTTGAGGATCACATTCACGGATCACTTAGGGATCACATTCATTGATGACGGGGGTGGGGAGGGGGGGGGGTTGGTATGATAAGCACACCCGCTCAACTGCTGCAGACCAGCCTGCTCCTTTACCGGATTACAAAGTAACATGGCTCTGGGGAGGGGGTGGGGCTCTGGGGGGGGGGGGGGGGGGGGGGGATGATAAGCACACCCGCTCAACAGCTGCAGACCAGCCTGCTCCTTTACCGGATTACAAAGTAACATGGCTCTGGGGAGGGGGAGGGGGGGGGGGATGATAAGCACACCCGCTCAACAGCTGCAGACCAGCCTGCTCCTTTACCGGATTACAAAGTAACATGGCTCTGGGGAGGGGGTGGGGAGGGGGGTTGGTGTGATAAGCACACCCGCTCAACTGCTGCAGACCAGCCTGCTCCTTTACCGGATTACAAAGTAACACGCACACGCACACACACACACACACACACTCACACATGCAAACATACGCACGCCTACACACACGCACACACAGGCTCACACATGCAAACATACGCACGCCTACGAACATGCGCCGCAGGGCCTACATGTCAACACGCATGCACACAACCACATACATGGACTCGCCAGCATACATAGTAACATACGTCATGAAACATACACGTCACATATGTCATGCGATATACACGCCAACAAGCACAAACAAGCGCGTTTCTGCTCGCGCATGCGCGTATATAAACATACATCGCGAGGCAAACATATCAACACGCATGCATGCGCGACAAGCCTTCTGCAAAAAGCGATCCCGGAGCGATCCATTTGCGCGATCCCTAAGCGAACCATTCGCGCGACGCCTAAGCGACCCACTGCCCCCAAAGGGGACCCCCCGCTCCACCCCCCACCCCCCCCACCCCCACACTAACCTTCCATCTATTCAGGATTCAATTTCGCACATCTCACTCGCCCAATGAACATAGGTTGCGCATGATCGGGGGGCCGGTTGTTGAAGGGAGGCCAAAAGGAAACCAACGCTTTTTGGAGCTCCCGTTTGGAAACACACATCTGTTGGGGGGGGGCAAGCCTAGGCAATAGGCAGGTCTTCGCGCGCCAAGCCTTCTGTTTCCCCCTTGACTCATTAAACTTTTAAGGGGAACTCTTGAACGTGGGGCGGCCAACCCCAGGTTCAAAAAGTCATTTGAACATGTGTAAGCCAATGTTGTTGAAACATCCTTTCTTAGGGTGCCTGTCAAAGGGGTTCGGTTTTTAAACATGTGTCACCAAATGTGGGGATGCATTTTTAATTGGGACCCTTTGGTGAACATCATCTAGGTGCCCCTGGTTCTTGTAGAGAGTAAATAGGAAGCCCCTCGTCAGCCAGCAAACCACCAATCAAAACCACCAATTCGAGGAAAGCTGAAAAACAACAATTTCACGAAGGATGCAAACCTAACCTTCTGTCTGCTAGTTGGCATCGATGGGAGTCCCAAGAAATTAACAAACCAAACCCCCCGGCGAACGTGTATTTTCCAAGTTTCCCAAGTTGTCATTCCAGGGTTTCCGAAAAGCTTTTCTGGCGAAATAAACGTTGACAGTAAGTGTTCCAGGCAGAAATACACCATTCGAAAAGGGATCGTGTTGTCTCCCATTCGAAACTAACATCTCGCACATGCGACAGAAGAACATACGCATGGGAAGAAACGTTTGTTTTGTCCAGAGTAACAAAGGTTCCGTAGATGGCTTTATTTATTTCTTGTTTCTATGGTGGTGAAACAAACGTTAGGCAAAGTCAATCTAACCAACTAACTAACTAACTAACTAACTAACTAACTAACTAACTAACTAACTAACTACTAACTAACTAACTACCTTACTTACTTACTTACTTACTTGCTTGCTTACTTACTTACTAATTAACCAATTACTGTAGCTGACTAACTAACACTCTAACTAGACTTGCTCCCCTCTGGTCAAATGACCAAAAGGATCATGCCTTGTGGGCTGTGGGGTCCAGGGTTAGGGTCAACAGAGCGCACGTTCGCCCCATCCTAACCAAAAATACGACACCTCCAGGTGTTGGTCCATTTGAGTCCCCCCTAAGTTTTTGGAGTGCTTCTTTTTGGGGGGGGGAGAGAGGTTCAGCTTTGGGAGGTCTGAAACCCTTCAGCCACGGCGCCATCCGCTGCACCGTGATCTGCTCACCCGCCCCCCTCCGCAGCAGTTGCCGCCGCAGCTGCACGGCGTCCTCAAGCGAAACCGAGGGCCACGGGTGGAGATCCCATTTTGTTGGCCTCGCCAAAAGGTATTTAGCAACCACCCGAGAAGGGACATACGGGCTGGTCCTTTCTGAGGGTACACTTTTTTGGGGCTTGTTCGAAGGGAAACCAAGGGGAAACCAACGGGACAACACCTTCAACTAGTAAGCCCACGAGAGGGCGGCAAAGTTGAGAAAAGGGCTTGTTGGCAGGTTAGAAACGAATTCGCGAGGCGCTTTTGGTACCAAGAGGGATTAAGCCCTGCACGATCTTTTGGCTGAGCTGCTGCCTTTTTTCGATTTCCCTTTTTGGGGGGTGGCATTGAAAAAGGCACAGAATGGACAGCCACCATTTTGAGGATGACTTAAGAAAAACCTAGGTGGTCTGCAGGTTTTTAAGCATGCTGCTGGCTCAAAGTCCAGACAACACTCTGGAAAACCTGGTCGGTTGAAGTTTCCGCTCTGTTCCACATCCAACAGGAGATTCCTCTACATGGGTTGCAGGTTGTCTCTCTACACACGGGCAACGTTAGTGAGTTAGGGTCCCACATCTTCCTCCTCTTCTCCTATCCCAACTCACACATGTAAACACATCAATATTGACACGTCAGGCCAAGCAAAGCATTCACAGCGTCCCCAAGCCTCTGGCATTCCAAAACCCAGAGATTCCCTCCCAAAAGCAGCCAAAGGGACTGTTGACGAGTAATTCCACGCCCAAAACAAAGCAACTTGTATCCTCAACCCTCAACCCTCAACCCCAACCCCCCACCCCAACTCAAAAACAAGAACACGAAACAGAAGAAGCAAAAGCATGAAACAGAAGATGCAAAAAACAGACCAAACCCAAAAAAAACGAATCCATGGCCCCCGGGCGCAGGTCTTGCCGTACTTCAGCTGCAGCATCTCCTCCACGACCGCCAGCAGCGCCTCCAGCAGCTGCGCCTCGAAGGAGGCCTCCTGTGGCTCCTTCCGATCCACGCGGATCTGTCGCGGCGGGGCTCGAGGGTCGCCCGGTGGAAAAACAGAGCAGAGCAGAATGGAGCTGGCTTTCGCAGAGAACATGGATGTGTCTTAACATAGGGGACCCCAAACAAAGGGTTGCAAACTTTGCGGTTTCCCATGAAAAAAAAAGCGAACCTCAAAAAGGATGCCAACAAAGAAAGACGGACCCAAATAGGGGCATCTTCGAGCAAGGGACCTTCAGGTGAGCTTAGTCAAGCCGGCGCTCTCGTTATCATCACAGAGCTGGGCCTATACGGGAGTGCCAAAAACCCAACCCAACACAAGGACCCTTGTGTTCATCAAAGCCCCCTCCCCCCTCAGACCTCAGAGATGCACACATCCATACTTGTGGACCGATCCCATGCGTCAAAAACTGTAAGACTGGCGGGTTTTCCTGGTCGTTCCCACATAGCCGCCTGGCGTCAAAAATCGTTCAACATGGCGGGGTGTCCTGGTCCTGAGAATGGGTCAACCACACGCACCCAACCGCAGGAACCCCCCCCTCACCCCCCCCCACCCCCCCCCCCGCCTGTGGCTCGGGCTCCGGGCGCTCCGGGCGCTCCGAAACCTCCGGGCGCTGCGCGGTGGTCTCCAAGGGGCCTGGCTTCCGCATGGACACCCCGGGTCCTTTTTGCAACCTTGGCAGGATTTGGCCATGTGTCAAAACCCATTTCGTACCCCCAGTGAACATCCGATTCAATCCCCAAAATAGACTAAAATGGGTGGTGCACCTACCCCAACATGGTACCATTGGTGATGACCCACGGCCATTTAGGTTTCTTGGGTTGCCTAAAAAATTGCCTCTGTGTGTCTGGCTTCCCGTGTTTACCTGAAGACCTTGGGATCTTAGTGTGGTCTTGTTTTCGAGACGGAGACATCGAGTTTACTTCATGAGAGTACCTCACCCCCTGGAAACGCTAAAACCAAAGTGGCCTGCACTTCATTCGGCACCAACCACAGTTGTTTGCTGATCTGCACCGCCGGATGCTTGAAAGCACGGGCATATGCGATGAGCCATGCTAAAAGAGATGACGGTTGCTGTTGGAACATTTGATCACAAAGCACAACGTGGCTAAGTACGCAGCCAATTCCAGTCAAACAGCAGCATCTGTACTCCCACTCCAGCCCCCAGCACCCTTTCTTCCCCAGCCTGGCCGCTGCACCAATTGCCCTGGCACCAGAAAAGCCAACAAGGTTACATTACGACAGAAGTAGTGCATGCACCAAACAAATAGCATGCTTTGCAATTTGCTCATGGCGGTGTCGTTGCACAACAGGTGTTGCGGAAATGTGAGGGAAAAAACAACAAAAAGCTTCCCGAAACGTTCAAAGTGCAAGGGAAAAGCCCAACAAAGTGGTAAAATCATACCCAACCTTGCAAGCAATTGTTGGGTCTGGCTTTCATGTTCAGCTCTCCCGCCTGTCTCGTGCAGGCTGAGAGGGCTTTCTTCCAGCACGAGCCTGCGACAGGAAGTTGCGACTTTGCAGCAAGACGGTTGCTTGGGAGTGGGTGCAAAGTCTAGAAACCTGGCGCCTGTGGCGAAGGCGGCAAAGGTTGGATGGTGATGACATGCCTTTGTGTTGGACATGTCAAACAAACTATTTGATCAATCGCTAGCAAGTCAAGCATGAAGAGCAGTCTCGCTGCGATGCAGCCAACAACCTCGTGAACACGTGGGTAGCCATGCTATTTTCCCCAACAAAGCAGGTGCTTTGCACATTTGCTTCTCTGAAAATCTGACAAAACCTTGCAATGCTGATCAGCAACCCCCCCTGGAGCCCATGCCACGGCACCTGCGCTCTGGTCGCGGGGGCGGCTGAAAGGCCAAATAACCGTCGCCTTGCACCCGTGGAGCGTCTGGGCCGCCCGATATGACGCCAAAACCCAACCAGGGAATCCAAATGCAATGGTTGGCGGAGATGGGAACTCAAATTCGCTTTGGTCACCTGGTGGAAGTTTGGCAGTCTTGAAGAACATGTGGCGCTGAACCCTGTGAAAAGCAGAAAGTTAGCCTCTGCAAAACACCATACCTGGGTTGGGGAAAAGCCTGACGAATCAGAACCCTCAATGAGGCAATCTGCAACACCATCGCGAAATCTCCCGGTCCTTGAAAATAGCGCTGGCTGCAGCTGACAGGGGTTGCTTGGGGACTTGCCACCCTTTCCCAACGACAACAACGAGGTGGCACGGGTGGGAGCAGAAACAAGGATCATTTCAGGCGGCTTACTTAAGGCCGGCGGGGTGTGACTCGGGAAAGGACATAGGGGCGCCTTCGTGCAAACCTTTTTGCAGCACGACCGTGCCCTCGGCGTTGCCCCAACCCCGATCACACATCCGAGATGCCTGCAAATGGTCGGGCCTCCCAAGGGAGTGGCACGGATGTCAAGCGAACCAATTGACACTTCGTAGCACCGTCTCAGAGCGGTTCCATCGCCTTCACTTGGGCGTGTAGGGAAAAAATGCCTCCCCTGTGATAGATCTGAACGGTTGCGAATACCGCTTGTGGTAGCAAATCCTGGAATTGCTCGAATATCAGTAGTGCTTGGAAATGATCCATCTATGTGCGCACTGTCATGGACATACCGTAGCTTTCCTTTTGCAACCAGCGGAGCTTGCAAGAACACCCTTCCATTCTCTTATGTCCAAACGCCCATCCGAAGCCCTCTTCTTTCACACTAGTTGCTGCAGGTGTGCAACAATTTGCTGTGCAACAATTTGCCATCACAACCCGTTTTTCAGATGATGCTTCACATGAAGTGGAACATCGATGGTGCGCGTAGAACAGCATGGAGGAGCGCATATTGATTCGTCTCTGGCATGGGTTCAACTTGTGCAAACATCATGATTTACAAACCTGCATTGGGCATGTTCAAACGAATCTGAATCATATGGAGCTGGTTGTATGTCTGCTGTTTCGTCAGGTCGCCATGATTGCCAAACTGGAGTGATGCAAAGAAATCGGGCTCAAGCCACATAAGGAATCACACGAGATGTTTCCACCTGTAGTCCCGGACGGGAATGAGGCCCTACTTGGATGGTACTCAAAGAAAATGTATAGCAAACCTATTGCTGTTGGGAGTACCAAGACAATCTTCCGTATGTCTGGTTTTACGGACAATCTACAAAGAAACCACCTCGAGGGAATGCCTGATGTCGAGAACACTCATAAATATATAGGTGTTTCTCAATCTACGGAAATCCCAAAACAAGCGGTCTCCTTTGATTGAGTCCTCCTGGTTGTGTGAAACTTAGTCAGCCCATCCATGGTCCTCTCAATGAATGGACCACACACCATCAAGGATATGTTGGCCAAATAATTGGGTAATCTTTCAGAAGCCGCCTGTTCGGGGTAGCTTAAAGTTCAAAGGGACACCGCCATTGGTTATGTCTCCCCTTCATAGGAACCCCAAGTGTTGACCAAAGTGTCCAAGGGACCCAGGACCATCCCTCGCAACCCCAAATGAAAGTTTTCTTGCTGGTGCAATAGGCAGGGAATGAAATGCTGGTTTCCTTCATTCGGGGACCAAAGCCTGGGCCTAGGTTCATTCCAACTCATTCCCCATCGCACCGATCGCCAGTGTTGGCTATGGCTTGCCGCCTGCGTGGAGCAGTCCTGCAGCGCAAGCTGGTGGCCTGTGTTGACTTGCGATGGGTGCCAAATCGGTAGGCGATGAGAAATGGAAAGAACCGTTTTGGGATTCCCTAACAAAGGAAACCAGAGGAACCGGATGGTTTATAGGGGTCATTCCATTGCTCATTCCCTCCTGAGCGCCAGCAAGTTGAGTCACTCCGGGGAGGAGATGCTTTGAAGCAAATCTCTTGGGGTCTTTGTCCAGGTATGTTCCGGGCTCGGGTTCCGGAAGGGTTGCGGGTGCTGCTGGGGATGGCAGCCGGGCTTATTGTCTCAACCACAAGATGACGTTTGCATCAAATATGCGGGGCTGGTTTTGAAGGGGAAAAAACATGGGGGAAACGCCCATTGTGTGTGTGTGCAAGGTATCTTCCATGGTAGGACAGGTTAAGAGACCTCAATCGGGAGTGTCTGTTTTTTTGTAAGAGCACCCCTTTCGGGTGAAAAACAAAGGGACACCAGCAATTTGGGGGGTTATCTATTCTTAAACACCCCCAAGTGAGTACTGCGAAGCATGAGATTCACCCAGACTAGAGTACCGTAGCGCCATTTTGCAAGTTTCTGTGGCCTAATCATGACTGGAGTATTGAAACTTGCGGAACGACAGTCATGGAACTGTACGAATGGATTTGAATGGCACTTGAAGCAAGGGGTGGAATCCAAATAACGAGGGGCATGATTCCTCTATTGTGGCCGTGGCTCGCATGGCTCTTGCATCGCATGTACTTTGATAAGGTCACTTGCACGCAATGGCCTTAAATTACAAGGACAGGAATCAATATTCCCTCCTTTCCGCTTCTTCGTGTCCTGCCTTCCAGAAACAGAGCGGTTGCTTTTGACATCCCGTAGATACTAGCATGCCTAGTTCACGAAGTAAGCCTTCGGAAATGTGAAGGACACTGCTTTGCAAGCTATGGCTATAATGACCCTAATGGCCTGCAGGGCAAAAAGGCAAGGTTGGCAAGTCATGGGCTAGCCAACAATACTGTACATTGGAGCGAGCGTTGATCGCGGCTACTTGAAGTTGCCCATACATTTTGCCTTCAACCTCTCACTGAAGCTGAAAGTAAAATGTAAACACAAACGTGCCTCTGCCCATACAAAGTTCCCAAGACTCAAGCGCACTCACCGAGCTGTGAGACGTGGGCGCCTAGGCCAAAGGGTGAAGCCAGCGCGATCCTGGGCAGGCAACTTTGCAACGAGCTACAAGCATAGTGGCTCAAATGGTGGACCCAAAATGAGCACAAATCCCTGACACACAAAATCGAAAGAACACAGCCGCATGTCTTCACTTCGCACCCATCTGATGTATAAAAGCTGGAGCCGATGCAATTGCAAAAGCATCCACAAGGCGCTAGAACAATACTCTGAACCCTTGTGGCTTGAATCTCAAAAATGTGCCTTGCTTCAAAGGCTGCATAATTCCATGCAGGAAATTAAATGTTGCGGTCCCCCAGAAGATAAAGGCATCTAGTCCGAGGTCGTAGATTCTGACTGCCACGGCATTTCCTTGCGCTTCATGTCACCCAGCTTGATGCAGCAGCCAAGCCTGGGGAAGCAGTTCAGGAAGCACAAGTTGAGCATGCAGGGCACTTCATCATCCGGTGGGAATGCGGATCCCGCCACGCAGCAAAAGAGTTGTGTCTGTGCTTTGCAACATGTCGTCAGATCGACACATCGGAATGCACAGCATCCGCAGCACAGGCAAGGTGCACCCGTCTTGCAGCAAAGGTCGCACTCGAGGCAAAGGACAGTTTTCTGGGCTGCACATCCAATGTGTTTCACCTCCGGCACACAGCCGTCGTAGCAGCAGCAGCAAGCATGGTGCACAATGACTTTGGTCTCGTCAATGGAGTCAAAATCCATCCTGTCCTGCGCTGGGGCCGACATGTCGGAGAAGACGGATGCGTATCTTACCTTTAAAGCTGCTGGCGGTCCGACTCGAGCCAAAGTTGCAGGGCGATCCAGTGACGGTCTACCTCGTTCTTTGACCGGTTCTACAGCCCAGTGCCAGTGCCTGCTTTGCGGGTAGCCGGGCCCCAGGCGGTGGATAGAAGCCCGCGCCTGACAAGCAGCGCGGTCAGACGGCAACTAATCTTCTGCTGACTACAGGTTCAATGGCACATGAAAAAATATAATATAATATATATATAAGCCCAGCGGAGGCTCCAATTGGCTATCTCCACGGGTCACTGAAGGGCTGACAACACTAGATCAAGAGGAGCCAACAGGATGTTGCCAGTCAGTTCAAATCAGCCGTGCAAAGTCCGACTGCCCAAGCTTGGTGCCTGTGTAGTGCTGAAGCTGATGCAGCCTGTGCCGGAGCTGCCGTGAAGCTAGTCAAAGCATGCAAGCAAACGCAGGTTGGTGCGGTCTTGGTGCGTGCGTTGACCTACTATATGATGAAACTAATTCTTCCTGTGATGCGTCAAAGTCCAAGACAGCCCCAACAGCCTGCTAGGCATGAATCTTAACTAGGGGCCCTTTGGTGGACATCATGTACGTGGGACTCATGTCCACAACCCACTTTTGATGTGGCTCCCTGTTAAAATTCATGGCCTGCTCAACATAGGGGGTTCTCCACACCAGGGGAACCCCGAACATTGGCGGGTTCCTTCAGCTTCCCGTTCAAACAACAAGGGTGCCATCAAGAAGAGATGCACCGCGTCGCGCAGTCCTTAAGAAGTCGGCGAGTGGTGAGCGCTCAGCGGCCAACACTTATGAAAGCCAATGAAAGCAGGTGCTTTTCTTTATTCACCGTCCAGCCCTCAATGCATCTGGTGGGTTCTGAGCAAACCGGTCACTGATTGCCCTGTCACCGGTACTACATATCAACATATCATATCTGTGATAAAAAGACAATCCCCACTTACGTCAAAACCTTGTTGCATGGCTTCTGCGACTCAACACGCAAGAAATGGCATGCTTCTTGCGTGCCCCCTCAACTTCGTAGCCCGCCTCCAACCCCCCCCCACCCGCGCCTGGGATCCGAATCTCTGGGCCACCTTCGCCACAGCCCGCCCGTGGGGCTGGACCAGAGGTTCTCCTCCGAAACTTCGGTTCCCGGGCCCAGGGGCCCAGGCTCAGACCAAACGACGTCGCAACCAAGCGAGAACCATGCCCCAGCGGAGATTTGCCTCGCCTCCTATGGACCCGGAAGGGGGAACGGTGACAAAAAGTGCAAAGATAGGTAACAACAACAGCCAATTTCGATTCGAAGGTAAACCCTGGATCTCTTTCTGTGGTTCCATCCTTCTCTCAAAGATGCCCAACCCATTTCTCTATTCCTCTCTTGGCATTGCTTTGTTGCTCTTGTGAGGTCCCATTCCCTGAACAACCTGCCATGTACTTCGGCTGGCTTCGCTCATGTGGCAGCGCTTGTGCTTCGAATGTCACCCACCCTCGGGAGGTGCCCCAGACCCCGCGCGCGCGCTGCGCGCTCCTTCTCCGACTGCCAGGGGTCCTCCCATCGGCCCCACCAGTCCTGCACAGCGAGATGTCTCATCAAAAGACGCGTCGAGTATCGAAGGGGTCTCTTCCGAACAAATTGCAGCCCGAGCGAAACACCGTCTCGGTTCATGTTCAAGAAGAAACCAAAAGAAAGAGGCAATGTTTGGAGACAAACCACACCCGCAGAGATACATCTTGAGTTCAAGGCAACAACACCTCACACAAGTTTCGAGACAAACCACACCCGCCTGGGAGCCCCAGTGGCTCCAGCCCCAGCGGCCCCAGCGGTCCCAGCTCCACTCCTGCTGTGTGGCTGGTCCGAGGCAAAGGTCCAAACCAAAGAATCGGTTCGGGTGGGGGACCACAACACGGCGGATTTCCCTTTGGTTTCCCTTTCAGCCAACCTGAGTTTTCAAAAACCAAACTCCCATGTCGGGCTGCGTTTCCCATTGAAGGTTGGATGAAATTACTGGCAAAGGTGGACATTCACACTGGACTTCCCCTTTTGGGGGAAATCGCACCCGGGCTTCCTTGAGGCAATTTGAAAAAGGGACCCTTGCAAAGAAAATGACCGGGAATCTTGAAAAATGGGTCGATGGAAACGCTTCAAAGAGGGGGTAACCGATGCCAACTAAGCAAGCCTCAGGCTTGCTCACCCCACCAAGCTTCTGTATGGTGCAGGCAAAGCATTCGCGGCTTGAGTTGTGGCAAAATGTAAACATCTGACGACATACAACACAGTGATGGTAAATTGCCGTGGCTCTAAGCCACCGTATGCGCTTCGCTGCAACAAACTCATGCATTAATAATACCCTACCAAGGAGTAGTGTCCCGCTGCCAGGATCCCTGGCCCCTTCGCCCCTTCAGGCCTCCTGCTTGTAGCGGCTATTCGGCTCCTGGCCGTGAAGCCCGTGCCAAGCGAGTGCTAAGCTTGGGAGGTTGAGCTGGCGCATGTCCGGAGTCAAACTGAATATCGCGTGGTGCGAAGACATCTTATGCCAAGACATCCTGTTCATCCTTATCAACTCCAAACAGAATTCTATCCTCCCCACGCCAATCAGTCATGTTCGCTGCAGCTTGAGTTCTAGCCAACGTCTTGCGGGCGTGCGCCCAGTGTTCCAGGCACCCCCAAGCCCCATCTCGCCTCTTTGGCCCACCGACCAGGGGTTCCATGCCCCTCCTCCACTGCCTCACCGGCTGAGTGCAAGCGGGCCAGGCGGGAGTAAAATGATCCTTTGAGCAAAGTGGTTGCTACTTTGGATGCAGTTTTGGCATCAGGCGAGTGTCAATCAATTGGTATTTTGGTATGATCCCCTTCACAACTGGCTTGGATGAAGCCTGGACGGTGATCCGGAAGGTCTCGTCCAGAGCTTAAACAAGTTGTGTTGCACAAGCTTGATGTGGATATTGTGGGCAAAAAAGACATTATGTGGCAGAATCGTCCTAACATCTTCTATTGAAGATTGTTCAGCGACATGTTCGAAAATTGGCCTGCGTCCAAAAGTGATAGAGACTGCCTGACAAAGCTTGGTTCATCCCGCCGTGCCTTGGCTGGCGAGGTCAAATCCAATCTCCGTGGGCTTCCAATCCGATCTGAGGCCTTCATTCCATACCGGGCATCCTCCTCGCTTCGGTTTCCTCTCTCTGGCTCTGGTCGGAAATCTGTCTTTGGCAGCCTGTCTGCCAATGACTCCACCGGGAGTCGTCGAAGGTCCTCTTCCCTCTGTAATTCTCGCCGGAGAAAGTGACACTCATCAGCCACTGCCAGCCCAAATTCGTCTGTTGTGAGGTTCTTTGCTTGCTTCTCCCTGTCAGCTTTCCTCAAAAGTTCATCCTCCAGGTTCTGTTTCCGCCTTGCGGCATCCTCCACCTTTCTTGCCTGCTCTTCCTCTTCCCTCTTCCTCTGCTTTGCCTCCAGCCCAGCTTTCCTTGCAAGCTCCTGTTCCTGCTGTTTCTGCTTTTGCCTCGCTTCCTCCGCGTTTCTGGCTTGCTCTTCCTCTTCCAGCCTCAGCTGATGCGACTCGGTTCTCCTTGCAAGCTCCTCTTCCTGCTGCTTCTGCGTCTGCCTCGCCTCCTCTTCCTCCTCCATTGCTTTTCTTGCACTCTCTTCCTCTTGTTGTTGTCGTTTCTGCTGTGCCTCTTGCTCAGCTTTTCTCGCAAGGTCCTGCTCTTGTTTCTTCTGCCTTGCATCATCCTCCACCTTTCTTGCATGCTCTTCCTCTTCTTGTTGTCGTTTCTGCTGTGCCTCTTGCTCAGCTTTTCTCGCAAGCTCCTGCTCTTGTTTCTTCTGCCTTGCATCATCCTCCACCTTTCTTGCATGCTCTTCCTCTTCTTGTTGTCGTTTCTGCTGTGCGTCTTGCTCAGCTTTTCTCGCAAGCTCCTCCTCCTCCTGTTTCTTCTGTATTGCGTCGTCCTCCACCTTTCTTGCACGCTCTTCCTCTTCCAGCTTCTTCTGGCGCGCATCCTGCTCCTTCTTCGCACGCTCCTCCTCTTCTTGTTTCTGCTTCGCTGCCTCCTCCATCCTTCTCGCGCGGTCCTCCTCTTCTAGCTGCTGCTGCGCCTGCTCAGCCTTCTCAACACGCTCCTCTTCCTCTTTCTGCTTCTGTCTCGCTTCCTCCTCCATCCTTCTCACCTTCTCTTCCTCTTGCTTCCTTCTCTCCTCCTCCTCTTTGGCTTTTCTCGCTCGCTCCGCCGCTTCGTTCCTCACGCGCTCCTCCTCAGCTTTCCTCACGCGCTCTTCCTCAGCCTTCTTCTGTCGCTCCTCCGCCAACTTTCTCTCACGCTCTGCTTCTTCTGCCTTCTTCCGGGCTTGTTCAGCTTGCTCCTGCTCCTCCTTTGCCCGCCTCTGAGCGTCCTCTTGCCTCTTCCGCTCAGCCAAACGTCTGTTGGCCTCATCCACTTCCTTACGCCTTCGTTGCTCCTCGGCCGCTTCCTGCTCCTTCCTCTTCCTTTCCTGGCCAAGGCACACAGCCTCCCACACACATCCCAACATGCACACGCACAATTCGACACAACTGACTCGAAACTAGTTCCGGGCAAACAGTCCCAGTCAGTCAATAATATAGCTTTCTTCCCCATCTTTCTCTTTCCCTCTTTCTCTTTACCTTGCTCTTTCACCCCCGCTCTCTCTCGCTCCCCCCGCACCACGGACCCGAGCTCTCAGCCAGCCTCCTCCTCCCTTTGGCGCTTCTCCATCTCTTCCTCGCGGCGCTTCGCCTCCGGGTCGTAGAAGGAGTTGGAGTTCTGCCGCGCCGGACTTGCGACGACGGATGAGTCTCAAAACTGAGACCGGAAGCTCCAGCTCGGTGTCCTTTCAAACCCATCCAGAAACGGGTCCCCGATTCTGGGGATGGCCCCAAACGACCAGAAGCCCCCCCCCCCCAGGTTCTCGGCTTGGAAAGGCCAACTAATTCAGGTGGAGTGGCCAAAGAGACTTGATTTGCCTGTGACCCATACATCACGACGAGACTGCACAGCCTGAGGTTGAAAGTTTGCTTCTTACGTTGGCAAACTTCCCTATCAAGGCGGCCAACAACATAAATGGAAACAGGACCCTGCCAAGTGATTTCAGAAGGAAATCGCTCCTAAACCAGTCACAAACTTGGGGACGTCCCAAGTTGTCAAAAGCCACTGGCAACTGGCTTGAAAATACTGAAGCCCACCTCGCTGAGAGCATCGAAATCTTCGCTGGGAATCTCCTGCACAAGGGGTGGGGGGGGCGTTAAGACCAGAGGAGTCACTGCACTGCCCACTGGCCAGGTACCTGTGACACCTTTGTTTCCGAACAACGCTGACAGAAACGGCGCCTGTGACAAACATGAAGAAATACCAAGAAGAAATACTGCTAGGCCTGCCCCTTGAGCACATGTCGAGATGCTTCAATCGACCTGAACGGTAGCAGAACAAACTGGCACACATTGGCAGTCTCAATTCGCCTATGTGGTTCACACTGCCTCGTGAATTACACCTACAAGTTCTGCATCGAGATCCCTGAGACACCCATAGAGGCAGAAGAACCCGAGTTTCACCACGAAGCACGCGCTGCGCGGCTTGCCCACTCCAAGCGGTCGCCTCATCGACCTCCTCGTCAACGGATCCCGATTTCTCAGACCCCTCGGAGACCTGGCAGGCGAATCCGCAAGTGGGCGGTCCTCAGATCCCCTGCTAAAGTTTGACTTTTCGTGGGTTAAATGGAAATCCCACTAAACACTGAAAAGCTAAGACGCTAAAAGGATGGCTGGGAACCACCAAGGTACGTGGTTCTTCTCAACGCTTCCTCCCAGCTTTCTTTCAACTAGAATTCACAAGCGGAGTGCAGGGGTCCATGATTTCGACTGCCAGTTGCTGGGATCAACTATCCATGACCCACTTTCACCACGTCACTGCATGGATCTGCAAAGGAGCCAGTCCTCTCTATTGAAACGACCCGTAATGCATTGCACGCCCCGGGTTGGCTGCCCAAACGCACGAGTCGAGCGCCTCACACTTCCCAGGCGCGATCCCTCCAGGCCTTGGAAGCCAGCACGGTGCGCTTGGCATCTGCCTGGGCAACGACTGGGCTGTGCTGTTCTGGTGGAGTGCGTGCAGTCTGGCCACATCAGCTACATCTGGTTTCTGCCTCTAGCGGTGATTGGCATTGGATCATTTGGGAAAGGCCAAATTTGAGCGGGAACGAGCGGCGCGTGTGCCCGTGGTTGATCAGCTGAGAGTCTCATCCCAAGTGACTTGCTCTTACAGCCACTTTGTGGGTCTAAAAATGTACATGCCATCCTCGGCGTAGTCTGTGCTGCAGCGGTCGCGACTAGCACGGAAGAACACACGTCGGTCATCCCTTCTCTCCGCAGCCTGCCTCCTGCCGCCGAGCGATTTCCTGCCGCCTGCAGGCAGGCAGGCAGCACAGCTTGAGGCGGTTAGAGGTCATGGCGTCCGTTGTATCAAGCGCTGCAAGGCTCAATGCAGAGACCCCCTAGTCGCACACAGCTGGCTCCTGCATGTCTATGTGGGCCGGCCTATCCGCCGCCGCCGTGCGCCTGTGGCAAAGCGTGGCACACAGCGGACAAATCTGAGGCAGCCCGAATATTCCAGCTTTCTACTCGAAACACTTGCATCTGTTGCACATGGGGATCTTCGGCCCAGGAACCCGGTAAGCTAAGTTAAACTCCATACCAAGGAAGATTCATAGAGACAAGTCCAAGTCTGCCTAAATTCATGCTCCCAACTGCCAAGGCATCTCCAGGGCTTGAAATGGCACAGTCAAGCTCCAGGCTTGAGAGCCGTTCCCGTCCCTCTGCCTCGCATCCTCAGCGACCGAAGAATCTAGCTGCGCCTCGGGAGATGCAACACCGGCTGTCTCAGGGCAGTCAGAAAGGCCAGCGGATCAACTGGCTTGAGAAAATACTCTGCCATTGGCATGTACACTTATAGCTGATTCTCTGCATAGTCTGTTGTACAGCGTTCTCCTCTTCAGCTCTGTCCACTGCTTGCAGGACGGCTGACGGCAGCAGCTCAACTCTTATTTGTTCCAGTGTGAAGCTCGGAGGAAGCAAAACAAATCAGAAAGACCAGACATGACTCACCACCTGCGAGATCTGTGCGTAAGAGAGAATGAAAAAGAGAAAGAGCAAGATGAAGAGCGAGAGGAGGAGAGAGCGCGCGCGCGCGAGGTAGCGCCTCTGACTGAGAGTCCATGGTGGCATCGAAGTCGTCCGAGTAGCTGGCATTCTCGGCCTCTTCGGGCTCCGCCTCAGCGCGCATTTGCCGCCAGCTTGCCTCAAAAGCAACTCAAACTTATTCCTGTCATCCTGCCGGCATGCACCAGGCAAAACCCACGCATGAAGCCTTGCTCAAGTCGATTCCGCACAATTGCAAAGCTGTTTGCTATATTGTGTTTGTCCAATCAATAGCAAGCAGAGGGTCTAGAAAGAAACACCATACTGGATAGACGGGTGCTCAAAACATGGATTCCAATCTACCTCCCGCACTGAGTCGTAGTTGCACAAGCACAGCTTTGACGTATGTGTGCAACTGAATTTCCCATGTCGGCCTGCCACTCGTTCTGCAGGATTGCAGGCAAGTTGCCAACCCCTCAGCCCCTCCCAAACTAAGCTCCAGGCTGAGCGTGCAGAAAGGACAGAGCGCACAGACCGCAGAGAGCGCACGGAGCGCACGGAGCGAGGAGATGAGCGCATGGAGCGTGCCGAGCGCGGAGACCGTGCTGACCGCGGGGATCGCTTAGATGTCGGGCTTTGCGGGGATCGCACTCGCGGGGATCGCGGCGAGGCCGATGGAGACGCTGAGCGAGACGCTGAGCGAGACGCTGAGCGAGACGCTGAGCGAGACGCTGAGCGAGACGCTGAGCGAGATGCTGAGCGGGATGAGCGAGACGAGGCTGAGCGGGATGCCGAGCGGGATGGTGAGTGGGACACTGAGTGGGACGCCGATCGTGAAGCCAAAGGTGGTGGAGGCTTCCTTAGGCAATCAGCAGGGGGTGCCAACTAATCCTGTCAAACACTCCATTGTCGAACGGAACGCACCAGGCAAATGGCGGGCATATCAGAGCCCCTCCCCCAAAGGCAAACAGTGGCTGCTAATGTAAACGCCATACTCGCAAGACACTTAGCGCCTGGCTTGGCGCGCCTGCCCAAGCGTAAAGTTGCAGCTGTTGCGACTGTGGATGAAAGAGATGGGCCAAGAGAAGCCAGTGTGCTAACAAACATTGTCCCAGAGCAAGCAGAATAGAGGATGTCAAGACTTTCACTGGTGGGCTTGGCCACTGGAACCCTTGCTCGGATACGTTGGCAAGCATGATGAACCAATCACCAGGCATCTCTGACGTGGCCCAAGCGGGATATGAAGGCAATTAGTACTTTCTCAACTGCACAAACCTCGAAAGAACGGTATTTGTGAAAAAAGAAAGGCATGCTGTGCATGGTCATCGAGCACCTTTGCAGCACTCACAATGTACAGCACTCTTCACCCAGTTGCAATCAAGACGAAAAGTCCCAGTAAGACCCGCGTCCAGCATCTGCTTGCATAGCGAGACATGGAAACACTGACATGGAAAAGGTGGAGCCATAGTCTTGTCTAGAGCCCTCTCATCTCTCCACTGCATTGCCCTGTTCCCAGATCCAGGTGTCCGGGCGATTCTTCTGAAACCTCGGCGCTGCGAATCCATTCGAACGGACCGCCAAGTCCGTGGCCATGCTCATCGATGAAAGCAGGTGCATGTGCGCCATTCACGAGCACTGCAACCATCACTGATCAACGGCGAAACAGGTTCACGGCAACATGATCCGGGACTTTCCTGGCTCAGTCCACCAGAGTTGTTGAGGGTTGCAGGGGAATGGTCATGTTCGTGGTGTATTGCCCATGGCACTCGTGGGAAGACCAGGAAATGCGGATGATAAGGCGAAAGGAAGAACTCTGCAGATGGCCAACCAGCAAAGGCAAACAGCAACCATGGGCCAACCCCAAAACGGGTAGTGGACTTTTGGTCTCCCCTCAAAGAACCTCGGGACGGCTACCCTCACGAATATCACCACCTAGCTTGGGATTTGTTGTACTTTCAGTTGGCCCTTAATTTAGGAAGGTCCCCCCTTTTTCGGTTGGGTTCCAAGAAAGCCTTCCAAAAACCCCAACCCCCCTTTCCTTTCCACCTGAAAGGGGTTCCCGGTTCCCCGTTTTTCTCTGCGGGTTACCAAAACCTCGCCAGATTTTGTCCATCGCCCCTGCGCGCTCGGCCCACCTTCGAGGCCTCGAGGGTGGCCTCGAACTCGGAGCTCACCTCCTGGCGAATTCGAGCCGTTGCGCAACAGCGGAACGAACTCGCCGGCCGAGTGGCTGGAGTCCAGGGGTGCCAAGGCACATACCCATGTTACAGGCCTTGGAAACATGAACCCATTTTGGGCCTGCTCATGTTCATACTCTCCCCAAAAGGGGTATATACCCCTTATAAAGTGGGTTGGAAACCAGGGAAGCCAAGGGGTATGAACAAGGGGTATGTGCTTCCACCCTTAGATGGAGGGAACAAAGCTTTTGGCTTGGGACTGTTTGGTCATCGTTTAAATGGGTGCGAATGTCTTCCTGGTCCTTTTGAGGGTTTTTGGGGCTTGGCTGAAAGGAAAACAAAAAGGAAAACCAACATTTAGCTGTTTCAAGCGAAAGTGCCAGGCAAACGCAGCTGCTTTCCGCACAAAGGGATGGAGATTCAAGGCAGTGCCGGTTCCACTATTGCCACATTGCCCGGATTTTGCACGTGTCATTAGGCAACAGCCTGCCAGCAAAGAACAGACTTTGGATCAAGGGCAAAGGCTTTAAGGCTTTGGACCACGTGTAAGTTCTGCGCCAGGTCCTTTGTTCAAACACTGGACCTCTCTGTCGCCTCGAGCCCTCCACATGCCCTTCTTTGGCAGTTGGACCCGGAGACAAAGGGAAGACGAAGAGGAACCCAACCAAAGCGAAACCACTTTGTGTGGCTATGTCCCATCAGGTTACTCCCTCAAAGAGGCCCCGCAAAGATTCACTCCGCCAATGTTGGTGGGAGGGTACCTGGAAGACCAACTTCATCTTCAAGCAACCCTCTGTCAGGTGCCATGTTAGTGGGAGTGGGGGTAAGTCTTTAAATTGGCTGTGGGTCAAAAATAGGGTAACCCCAAAATGGGTTGCCCGATCGGTAAATGGAAACATGGGACCTGCGGTCCAATTCCTGGTGGTTGAAAATTTTGACCCATACCCAATTCCTCTCCGCAGTTCCAAGTCTTCCGGGCGCCTGGGCTGAGACGCTGAAGGACCGCGACGCGGCCCGCGGCGGTTTTAGCCGCGGGGAGGCCGGGGGCGAGGCGCTGCGCGAGCGCGGCGTGCGGGCGCTCCTGGCACGAGCTTCTGGCACGAGTTTCCATGCGTTTCCATTGGAAACAACCTCAAATCAAGTTCCCTCAAAACAAAACACGCGAAAATTATCACTGCAGGGCACTTTAGGAAGGGACCAGGGGGAGTTCCCCTTTCATTACTTGCAGCCTTCTTGCAAGAAAAGCCCGACCTGAGGCCGGGTGGGGAGTCGGGCGAGAGGTATTCCCTTGGGTTGCGCCTCTTGTCACGTCACGGGTGGCAAGGGGGAATCCTCAGACCCCATTTAAGGCTTCAAGGTTTTCCCTGGCTTCCAAGTGCCGAATTGATGGTAAGCCACGCTCCAAATCAGAGTGATCAGGGAGCTAGGCCGATCAATTCCCCAGCTAGAAATTCGCGCATGCAAGGCACCTGGCTTTGCGGCAAGAGGCACTGATTTCCACACAAATGCTGCTAAGCGAGACAGACTTGAGTAGGAGAGAGGCCGAGAAAACTCAGGGCATAGCACAAAAGCGAACGAAGCTCCCAGCTAAGCTGCCTTGGCTCACTGCGGTAGGTGCCTTGGTGCTTGGATGGGAAGCTAAGGCACATGGGGGTCGATCAATATTCCATTTAGTCACCATGGGTGCCACATGGGAAGCTTCCACGGTACCTTCACGGCCTATGCAGCGCCTGACGCGCAGATCCCCAGCGCCCGCTCTGTCCAAACATGATCTGAGATCCCCACCAGTGCCGGTACCCTCCGCAAAGTCCTCTGAGTAACAGTGTTCCTCGCTGCCGTCCTGGTCATTGATTGAACTGACGCTGGGAGCTTTCAATTGGGTTTGAAAGGGGTCGTCTTTCCACTGGCTCCGCCTTTGCCACGTCCAAGCCACGTCCAACTAGACCCTCCAAACGCCCAAACGTCCAACTTGCTTTTGTTGCGAAATTGGGACCAAACTGCGATACCCAGTGTACAAACAAGTAAGTCCGCCGACATTCTTTGGCGTGTTGGATACCTAAGAGAGGATAGAGATAGGGGATAATCCCTTCCTAACTCCGCCACCCGACGTCTGATACGTAGGGTTTGGGGGGGTCCCCACGTACCGCGCGGTAATTTGATAACGTTCCACTAAACGTAGTCTTTGGGGAGCTGGTGTCGCAAAACAGGGATCCCAGGCTCGAATCCCCCTGCCGGCTCTTTGCTAGTTTGGGTTTGCCGCCTCGTCTTGCCGAAAATATGGAAACACTCTGTATTTGTGTGACGTCCTCTTTGCGAAAACGCTGGCAACACCGTGTTTTTTTGCGGGAAATACTGGGGAGCAAAGGGGAAATGCAAGGAAGTGCAAGGAAATGAGGGGAGGAAATAGGAAGTCGACATGACAGGAAAGCAAGGGGAAATGAAAGGGAAACAAAGGGGAACTGAAAGGGACATGAAAGGGACAGAAATGAAAACAAGGGGAGTGCAGGGGGAATGAAAGGGAAACAAAGGACACCAATCGACACGACGGGAGATGTACGGAAATGACTCGCAACGAAAGAACGGGACATACATTGAAAATGAAGCTGACATACCGAGAAAATGACAGGGACATGAAGGGGGAGTTGAAAGGAATCGAAGGGACATGACCCGGATATCATGGGAAACGTGAAAAGTTCATGAAGGGGAAATCAAGGGGAAAGCCAGTAGTAAGCAGACAGTTCAGGGTCATGAAGGGGCAGTGCCCGGACATCGAGGCAACTCAGGGGGGACGTGACGCTGCAATGCAGAGAGAGAGAGAGAAACACAGGGAGAGAGCAGGAGAGAGAGAGAGAGAGAGAGAGAGGGAGGGAGAGAGAGAGAGAGAGAGAGAGACAGAGAGAGAGCGAGAGAGAGAGAGAGAGAGAGAGAGAGAGAGAGAGAGAGAGAGAGAGAGAGAGAGAGAGAGAGAGGCTTGGGGGGATGGGGAGGATGGGGAGCAGAGGGAGGGAGAGAGGACGACAGAACACACAGGGGAGGAGACAAGAGAGAGAGGAAGAAGGAGAAAAGGGAGAGGACAATGTCGGCGGACTGAGCCGGAGGCTCTAAAGTTCGCCCCCCAAAGCCCGCAGAACATGGGCTCCGAGGCCTCCGGAATCTCCGACTCGATCTCCGATTCAATCTCCGGAGGGTCCGAGGCCTCGAAACTGGACAAAGGTCAGGGAAAGTCCAACTAACTGTGAGAGCACGGCGCCAAAACCTACACAACAACAAAAAAAAACTCAACAAAGGCCCTCCCAAATCACTCCCCTCAAATCATTGGCCTTCATGCCTTTTGAATGCCTTCAAAAAGGGGGAACTCGAATTTTGGGAAACACCAGAAACGTCTCGCGCCCGTCTCCATTGAGGTCCAGGCAATTCCGACGCACCTGCGCGTGCGTTTTTGGGGGCCAAGGAGGCCAAAAGTGCGGCAAGCGTTGCCAAGGTGCTGGTCAGTTCAAAGTTCAACACCGTGAAGTCTGAAGCGTGTCCTCCGGAAGGTACGGCAAGGCATCCCCCTTTGTATGGAAGTCAGCAAGATTGTTGGAAAAGTGTTTGAGACTCCTGACCCCAGCAACAGTTGATTCACAAATTGCGAATGGCGATAGATGCAACCAGCTTCAAAAGCACCTCTAGGTCTTATCAACACCTTGCCGCTCAAAGGCAAAACATCATGTGATGCTGAACGGTAGTCTTCCAAGTGAACAAAGTTGACCAGTCCAAGACTTCACAACACATGCTCCGGTCGAACGGTCTCTCTTTTCTCTAGGCAAAGGCAGCGCGTAAAAGCACATTTGGAAACTCAACGAAACAGGTGAGCGTAACCTCGTACCTAGAGGGCCACCGCGAGCAAAGCAGCGGCCTCACCACCAGCCAGACCAGTCACACTCCTTCTTGGCCTTGCAATCATCTTTGTTCTTGTCCTTGCACTTCCTCTCCCACCAGTCTTGCCGGTTCTTGGATTGTCCAATCATCTTGTTGGTGTGACATCCACCCGTCGACTCGTGGTGAATCGTCGTTTCTTCATGCATCTCCTCGGGACGAAGCGCAAAGGTCACAACCACTAAGCTCCAAAGCAGGATAGAGCGCATGGGCGGAGCAAGTTCGCAAACTACTGGGTCTAGGAATGTAAAATGCCTTGAGCCACAACACTTGGCACATGCACGCACAAGCAAGAGCAAGTGCGCGACAGCCGAGCAAAGATTAACTCCTCCTCACACCTGCCGTTCAGCTCAGCTTTCTATGGCAACTTCGATATTCCAGTGGCCGCATTTAACCAGATCGATGGTTCAGGGGAGATACCGAGATACCCCTGAACCCGAAGGAGGTTTTTTCCATTGCTCAATCCTCCTCATGAGAAGCGTGTCGAGAAACCAGAGTCCCCAGTAGGGCAACTAATCCCAGTATATCTTCCTAGTGTCTGCTTGGCTAGCGATCGCGTGTGTGCAACCCTAGTTGAAGGTTTTTCAGCATTTTTTACTGAGACGCGCCCCTTTAACTGGCTTCAATTGGAAAGTCCAGAAAGGCAACAAACACCACTGGCGGGATCTCGACTTCAAAGCCATAACGCGCGAGGGCCAACGCTTGTTCCGTCCAGCGCTGGTGCATACTCGCCATCATCCTCCTCCTTGACGCGGGAGACGAGTGGGACACGCAGAATTTTCCCAAGCCCCAAGAGCATGCACGTAGTTGGAAGGAGCAAGGCCCAATTAGCTCTGAAACTCTGATTTGGCCCAGCGTTCAAACGCTTGCCATACTGACACGACACATACAGACACGCATGAACCAGTCCACGAACGCATGCAAGCAGCATGCTCTTTCAGGGAGAATACATGGCAAGATCCTGGTGAATCCCTTTTTGTGCAGCTGTCAGCCCACCACTCAAATTCCACGCTGCAAGCATGCTGCACCACTTCGGCATATCAATCTGAAAAAAATGAGGAAACACCTGGGCCTGGGAATGTCTCCCAAACGTGACCCCTCCGATAGGCTTACGGTGATGATTGATTGATAGGTGCAAGTGCCAACCTGGCACGGGTTCAGGCACTGGTGGGGCGACAGGCCCTATGTAGTGATGTTTGACACACAAGCCTGGGCTGGGGACAGGCTTGCTCCAAACGGTGAATTCCCTTGGGCCCCGCAAACTCGGGGCAATGGCTGAGCTTCCTCCTGGCCTGTTGTCAGCAATGGCGCGCAGTCCCTTCTGACAAAAATCCACTCCCAAATGCTTCTCTTGAAAGCATTGACCCCCTCTTTCCGCAAAGACCCTTGGAGACTCCGGGAAAGAACTGCCCGGCACACGCCTCGAGGTGCCACAAGCACTCGGCCGCATCGCCGTGGCCCAGTTCCGCCGCCGTCTGCAGCAGCCGAAACGCTTTCTCCTCGTCCACGCCTGGGCGAGCGCCCTTTGCTCAAACTCTGGAACAAACTCTCCTTGGTTTCCCTTCAAAAGGGGCTAGGGTCTGACCACGGGGGGCCATTGCCCTGCTTGCACTGCTGGAAGCACTGCTTCGGGGATTCGGCAGAGCATTTCAGGCAGGACGCGGCCCAGTGCCTGTTCACTCCATGACATTGATGATATTGGTGGTCTTCTAAGACTGGCTGCCAAGGTTGATGCATCTCACGGAGCTTTATGCGCCTCTCTGCTTGATCCAAAGCGCCCAGAAACTCTCGCTCAACAAGTATGGGCTGCGAGCGTGTTTCAGCTCTACATGATGACGCAAAAGTTAAAGTCGTTCTGAGCACTTTCCAGCTCAATTCTGGGGTTCATTTTCAAAACAGAAGAGGAGATCGGACGGAGAGATCACAAGCGTAGAATGCAGTCATCAAGGCCTGTTCGGAAAAGCATGTCCAGGATGAGATGAAACATGTTTCGTGTCGGGTGCCGTGATGCGCTGGACCCCAGTTCAGACATGTCTTCCTTGTCTTCCTTTGCCTATTGCACCGAAGAGGCTAACACCCTCGCCGTTGAGGTAACTCATGCCCAGCTGGAACAGCGCCTGGAAATGCGCGCTTGCCCCTCTGCACCAAATCAAAGATGGACCTGGAGACTGGGCAGCTATTGTCAACTCGGGCACACCCAAAGCATGCACCTCCCAGCAAGAGAGTTTTCATTTCGGACAATCCCCCTGGTCCATGGCCCCATGGCCTCAGGCTGGCCCTCGTCCGCCAGCTCCTGCCAGATGTCCAGCGGCTTCTCCCCGAGCAGCGCCCTTGCAGCCACGAGGTGCCCAAACGCCTGGCTGCGAAGGAGGCATTGCGCGAACATACATGTACCCCCTGCGGCTGTTGGTTGACCCCCCGCTGCTTTTCCTTGATGCGGTTGTTGTTCCTGGTTGGAAAACTTGTTGGGGGGTCGCCCGCAAAGGCTCCAACGAGGCCACAATGGTGGCGGAACGAGTAAAGGACTCTGTCCACAGGGCGACCATGTACAAGAAATCTAGCATGACTTTCAAAACGTGTAGACGGCCAAGAAAAGGGCCCGGAAAAAAACCATACATTTCACCTCAGTTCCTGAACGCCTGAAGGGACTGAGGTATCTGGATCCCGTTCCGGTCGAAATGTCAGTGGATCCACGTTAGTTTGGCCACCTATTTGCCCCGCCTCTGAGTCCCCCAAGGAGGCTGCCTCAAAGAGGCCACGGGCCTCCTCGAAATTTCCCTCCTGGCATACGGTTCGACAGCACTCTGCCTACTGCCTCGTGGCACATGCAAAACCGAGTCACATGCAATTGCGCTCTATGTCACAGTCACCCACACAGCTCTATGCAACAACACCTATGTGCAGGGGGCGTTTGTCCGTGGGTGAGAGTGTTTACTTGGCACCCTTGAGTGAATATCATGTACATAGGGGCTTGTGTGACTAGTCATGTTTGAGGGTGTTCCCCATTGACATTCAACGTCTCATCAAAAGGACTCCAATCCCAGGGCAACAAAACGCATCGTGCCCTTTTCCCCCGCCTCGAAACTCAGGAGGCCCAGCTGCGTGAGGGAGGGGAAGTGGCCCCTGCGGAAAGGCGATTCGCCTCCTTCGCCCAGTCACCACTAATTTGGTTTGGACCGTTTTAGTGGTGGTTGATCCTGTTTGTCACAACCCACTGTAACCCACTGCTACTTGGTGGGGGGCAGGGTCCAAAATGTTGATGTTGGTTAGAATCTTACCTTGGTTAGTGTGCCCACAGCCAACCGGTTGCTTCAGAGCGGATCCGCTCCAAAATACCAGGAACAAACATGGCTGCAGAGGTTGGGGTACAGTAGAAATGGAATGGGGGGAATCTGAAGAGGGGCAGTGGAGGAGCTTAACCCTGGACGACACGGAGGGTGAAGTGGCCTGCAGCCCCACAAGCCGCATCACGGCAGCCACGGTGCAATACTGCGCCACTTGATAACCCCCACCCACCAGAATTCTCACAATGAGGTTTACAACTTGAGACGCAAACTCACCACGGCACTCAAACCAAGCCCAAAAGATGTTGGCCAACCCCCAACATAGAATGAGGAAAGAGCCAAAGGCCCCACAACCCCAAGAAGAGGTCCCCATGTTCTGGAGTCCTGATGAGGGTCTTCCTGTGCGTCCGGCCTGTCTGCACTGCGCCGGTACCAGCGCCGCGCCTCCGACAGGTCCGGAGCCATGCCGTAGCCGCGCTGGTACATCTCGCCCAGGCAGTAGGCGGCCTGACCCACTGGAAACTCCAAAGGCGCTGGGGCCGTTTTGGAGCAAAATTTTGGGCCAGGGTTAAACAAACTACACCCAATCAAGCGCCCCCGCCTTGGGATCCAGCTGCTCTGCCGCCCTCCGCCTTGGTTCACTGCCGGTGAATCAAATGGGTCCCGCCTAGCTGGGCAAAAGGGACCCACACATGAGCTATTGGAAGAAGTGGGTCACGCAAGAACACGCAAGGCCTGAATTGAACCTGAAATCTCTGCGTGCGGCCAGCCAGCCAGGCACATGCCAAGGCGGCAGATCAGCTCCGCGTGGAAATTCGAAAGCTGGAAGGCAGGAATATCAACCCTAATGGTTCGAACTACTGTCGAAGCCAGGGACCCTTTTTGAGGTCTGTTTTTGACAGCAGAAATCCCCAGTTTTTGCATACACCTGAAAAATGCTGGTGCACCATGCCGAGAGCTCGATGACAAGCCCCATGTATCACAGGTCTTTGGCCGAGGAGCATCCAGACGACCGCTTCCGCCTCGGTGGGAGGCAGGCATGTGCTGCCGCCGGCTCGAAGCTGTTTTGAGGGCCCTGCCTTTTTGCACACGCGGCTGAAGAGCTTGTAACAAAAAGAACAGTGCAGTGGCACACCCAAACGTTGTCTTTCGTTTCCCCAAACATGGCATGCTGACTAGCTGCAATCATTTCAAACCTTGAACCAATTCGGGAGCCAAGGCCCTGGCCGAGGCGCTCCAAATATTCATGACCCTCTTATTTGATTCCGGCAGGCTTGTTGTGGAGAAAGGGCGGCTGAATAGTGTGTTAAACTCATTGCGTGCCTGAAACAAACTCCACACATCTGGCGAGCGTGATCGCTACTTTCCCTATCGCAGCGCAGAGCCTACTCAAGGATGACTTTTCTTCGGCCAAACTGTCAGCGCTGATGCTTCACCAGGCCAAGAGGTCCCTTCAATGCGCGGGAGCTACATCCAAAGCCTGTGGGTCGTTTCCCCGCCCTGAGCTTCGCGCCTCCGGCACCTGTGCCGCCAGGTTCATCTGCGCCGTGGCGTGGCCCTGGGCCGCGGCCCGCCGCAGCCACTGGCCCGCCTCGAGGGCTTCAGAAGCTTGGCCCCCCTCGCATCCCCCGAAGCGCGCATGCTCGTTTGCAGTTGGAGTGAGAAGGAAAGTATGATGCGAAGTGGGAAACCATTGATGTTGAATGCAGGTAGTTTTTTTGGATCCTGAGGAGTTCCCGAAGCGGGAGGAGTGTGCCTGGCAGTGGAATGTGACCTTTACGGCTCCCATTGTACATATCCTCGTTTACCAGCTTTGCCAATCTCAGCACAAACACATGTCCACCAACCATTCTCTCAGAGTGCTCCAACCATCAAATCAAAGCCCTTGATTTGAAGGCTCAAAATCAAGAACTCCTCCTTTGTGCGATGGTCTCCTCTTGGTTTCCTTTGACACCATACAAGGGAGGTTTCCTATATTAGGACAACCCCACTGAAACTCAGGCGCCCCAAAAGGGTTGATTCTCCCAAATTCCCTTTGAAATACCCCAAGAAAAATGGGAACCGACGCTGGCCAGTCGTTCCTTTGGCTTTCAAACACGAAAACAGGGAGAAAACAGAAGCTTCGCACTCAGCTACACGGGGGTGGTTGATCAGATTCTTCACATCGGGTGACCATTGGTTGGAGAACGACTAACAAGAATTGATGATACCAAATGTCCCACATGGGAAAAGTTCCCCAAGCTCATTTGGGGGCCCTTTCAGGGAATACTGATCCACCCCCCACATGCTCCGAGAACGCTCCCAGAACGCGCCTCGGGCTCCTCGCAGAGGAGCGCCAGGTTGTTCTGCGCGAAGGGGTGGCCCTGCTCCGCGCTGCGGCGGTAGAACTGACGCGCCAGGTCCAGGTCTTGCTCCTTCAAGATGATGACTAGTTGGCACATGAGTCACCATCAAAACCGCTCGGTATCAAAAAAATGGGGCACCCAAAAAACACAGTATTAATATGGTAATCCAAAAACCATGTAAGAACGAAATTAAAGGGCGCAAGCTATTTCTCGCTGGGATTCTCCCTTACTAAGCTTCACCTACCCGGGTTTTGATTTTGGTAAAGTTGAGACTAAACTGAGAGGCTCTGCCCAAGAGCATTGCCCCAAGCTGATCGTGGCACCCAGATCGAGAGATGCCGGAAGAGTGAGTGAGAAGACATGCGAAGGTTTCAGACCAAGCGGACAAAGGAGAGGACTCATGTCATAACAAAGCTCGGCTGTCTCGAAACGGAAAAAAAAACTGCTTTTGTGGATCTTCCAATGAACGCATACAGACATGAGACTCCAATTCTCCAAAATCACCAAAACCCTCAGCAGGTTGAGGTACATCTAAATTTACCAAAGCCCCTTGCTACCACAAAATCCCTTCTTGTTTCAGTCCCTCACTGAAGGCGTCTCCCTTTCGAGAAAAAAGCCACGCCCTCCTTGCCCGACACACCGAGCTCATGCTGCACGCCCAGGTTGTAGAGCGCATGCACGTCCTCAGCCTCCGCCAGCTCATCGTACCAGGGCGTCGTGCTGGCCAGCACCGACTCCTCGGAGTCCTTCTTTAAGAGCTGTCTGTGGGTCAACATTCGTCACCATCAGGATATGTGGAGTCATGGTCAGGGTTGCCTTGATGGCACCTTAAACCTCTCGCATTCGCAGCATCCGAAAAGGAATCTTACATTGGTTGTCTAAAATTCCCAAGTGAGGGGTTGAGGGCCATCCTTGCCAAACCCATGTACACGGACACACACACACACACACACACACACATGGATGCGCAAACGGCCGACATCTCTGCTTCCTGGTACCAGGCACCAAGGAAAGATGCCCTTCAAATTGCAGGACCCCGAGACAGGACTTGCGCCTCCCCGTGGCTCCAAGTCCTTGAACCAGAAGATGAGGCTGTAGCGGCACCCCTGCGCTTCTCAGTGCGAGCGCAAAGTGAAGAACCAGTTCACGGACTTCGGGAAACGGCGAAGGGCTTCCATGGGGAGAGCGGGGCTAGCACATCTTGTCGGATTCTTGCAGGCTCGCGCCCAAGATGAACTCCGGGCAAGAACAAGCAGCCTAATATGTGAGCCCACTTCTCCCCCAAGAACGGAACACTGACACCAAGCACCCAACTCCATCACTCGCTCCCGTGGCCGGGTCCCCTCCACGGCCTCCAGCACCTCCACTCCGTGCTGCAGGTCGAAGGAGTGCACTAACAAATCCCCCGGCTTCAGCTCCACATAACGCCGGGAGCTCAGGTGGGCCTCACTCTGCAGGAAGAGTCCTGAGTCGCCCACGAGCCCCGCAAGCACAAGCACATCCTCCCCACCTCCAGTTGCAAACCCTTCGGAATCAATGGGGTTAAATGGTGACCCCATGATTTCCCGCTAACACCAGGGATACCTCCATATTAATAAACAGGTGTTGATCATCTGGGGTGAACATTACGCCAAAAGCTCCGTCCCCAAACCTCCGCCGTCCCTGGCCTCCACGGAAGTCCTCCACCTCGGAGACTCCCAGCACCGCCGTCACGAAGGCGTGGCCATCGTAGTGGAGCCCGTGGCCCCGGCGCTCCGAGGGCAGATACCGACGGACCAGGACCTCAACCGAACCACGGACTCCGCCCGGACTCCGCCCGGAGTCCCCTACCGGTCCCCTGGAGATCCATCCAAAACACCTGCAAAATGTTTGTTCAGCCAGGACCTGCAAGTGGAAATCGATAAGGAAAGCTGCCATGACTCGAAATGTGGCCGAGACTGGAAACCAAAAGGCCAACACGGCTTTGGACGACTCAGAGGTGGCTCGGAACAGGAGGCAAACAGTATCGATCAGCAGCCCTAGGTCTCAAGCTTTGCAGCTTTCGGAAGACAAAACACCTTAGCCTGCTCCAACACAAATTGATCCGGCCGTCGCTCAGAGAAAATCGACCAATCCAAATGACAAAGCTGAAACGGAATTATAGCCCTAAGTTCTACATACATAAGTGATCGTTCGTCCCATTTTGGCAGGGTCTGGAGAAGCTACAAGTCGCCCATCCTCTTTTTGCTCCCTTCCGCAAGAAAACATGGTTGGTAGTTAGCGCCTCACCCATCCTCTTGAAATTTCTGGAGCCAACAAAAAACAAAAAACAACTCGGGTCGCCATTTCTGTAGCCACCCCGCCTTCCCCCCCCCAGCCTCAGACAGCGCACCTGCGCCCAGGCGTTGCTTCAGCAGCTGCTGGAGCTCCTCCGCCGCAGGGCCCAGCAGGCGCTCTAAGACCGAGTCCCGCCAGCGCCCGCCTCGAGAAATCTCTACCGCATCGGTGTGGATTGGTTGCGGGATTTGGCACTAGGTGTTTTGTTTGCCGCAATTGTTCAAGCCATGTTGCAACATGTTGGCAATCCCAATTGCTTGCGATTGGCTTATTCAGTTCGAACTCCTTCCCTTCCTGAGGTGTGAGGGTACATAAGAACCCCCGCACAAGGGATGTTTGGATTCTGAAAGCCTCCTTGTCAAGGGCTCTGAATTGAGGCATGCGTGCTGCAGTTTGGAGCTTGCAGCCAATGATGGCTTCACAAATACCCGTGACATCAAGCAGGATCTTTGATTCAATCAGGGATTTAAGTGGAGTCCTTCGCGCGAATCCGGTTGTTCATGATCCCTGAATCACTTCGGGCAACAACAAGACTGTGTTCTTTCGGCGCCTGGAAAACAATCAAAGGCTTATGCCACACATGAATGCGGATGCAAATGCGGAAACTTATTCTGCGAAACTATACAAGTGGCAAAGAGTGAACCAAGCGCTAATCATGACAATTGCTTCTTGCCAAGCACCATCGCGGCCTGCAAAAAAAGAACATCAACATGTTTATCCGCAATCCGCCCAATTCCGTGAGCATCCGTGCACGTTGCCTTCCGAGCCACGGGCGCAAGGGTAGAACTCGAAGGTCGGAGCCTCGTCTACCTGAGAGGGGGTTGAGTTCTGCGGTGACCCGACGACCGGCTAAAGGCCGGCACCGAGTTGTGTTTCTTGTGTAGGAGGGGATGGTTGAAATGTGATCAAAGGTTTCAGAATCTGCGTGTCATACACGCAGAGGCATTTGAGCAAGAAGACACTTCTCCCGAGAAGCTTCGGTACTCTTGTTCAGCACTCTACTGTCTTAAGGCCGCAAGGCAAGCAAAGGCGCAAATCAAGGCAACAGCAAGCTCTTCCTTTGCCTTGACACGCTCTTGCCTTTGCCCTACATGCGTCGTGAAGCCAAGTTTGCGCCAGGCCAGGCCCGGGAGTACCGCATAGCCCACTATCAGCAAGCAAAAAGCAAGAATGAGTTCCACCACGAAATCACAGGACGCTGCAGATACACAAATCATGCATCACATTTGTGTCGACAATATACCAAAAGCCATTGCCATCCAGGCCAAGCTTGGTTTGGTAAAAACAGGCAACGTTGCGCTACAGTAGCTCAGCCGCGGCAGCCAAAAGCAAAAGCGCAACCTCGCCACTTGCACCACTGGTTAGAAGAACACGTAGACAAGCTGCGCAAACAAGGCGGCTTCCAGCATTTCCTCACAAGTCAAATTGAGTTTTATTCCTGCAAAGATCGTGATTCTGACACCCTGCTTCAGCAACCACACTGTGCCGAGTATCCGTGAATCTTGCGTTGGCTCTCTCAGCACCACTGCCTCTGCGTTGAAACAACCCATGGTCACATTTGAAAGGGTTGCACAAAGCCTGGCAGCGAATTATGGGGAACTGATCCAAAGCCTAGGCACAGAGTCCGAGGAAATCTCGTAGTCTTCAGAGCTGCGCAGGTACTCCCGCAACTCCGCCACCTGCTCCTCTCAGCCAAGCCCCAAGTGACATCCAGTTGGAAGCAACCGTGATATCAACCTGTATGCGTTTCATGCTTGAAGCCGAAAGGGACATTGGCTAGCATCTAGTCGCCAAGAAACTGCAGGCTAGGGCAGTAACGCGCGCAAACGCCCCGCAGTCCTTTGGCAGGAAAGAGCGGAGGCAGTAGACTCTGCTAGGCTTGCCCAGGCCCTGCACCTTGCCAAACCGCAAAAACAAATGTGGTCTTGCGGCATGGAGGTCTGCCCGCGCCAGTTCTGTATGATTCTGATATCCAACTGAAAGAAGGCTCAGAGAAACCAGCGGCACTAGATGATACCCAGTTCGGTGCATTCTTGCTCCTGAAACGAGATAGCTGAAGACCAGCTCATTGCAAGGCAAGATTACTTTGGGGACATCACCCAAACACATAGCTCAAGAAAGTTAACCCAAATTTGTCGAACTCACTGCTTCCAGACACTTCATTGGAATGTCTGGATAGCGATCAGCTCGCTCGAAGAACAGCAAGAAAACAGTGGCCTTCGCTGCAAAAATTGCAACATTGGTTCAAAGCTGCAAACATGACCTCCGTAAACTGCTTCATGAAATCCTCTTGCTGTTCTGGGAGACGTTTGGACTGATTGTTCGGGGCCCTGGGTTTCTCAGATCTTCAACTCTTGAACCTGTGAACGTCTCTGACAGCGCAGTCCAACTACCAGAGCCAAGAGCTGAAGAGGAGACACACTCCAGCCATGTCTACGGCTGTCATTTCATCCTGTACGTGCCTCTCTCCCTCCAACATAATGGTTCCTGCCACAAAGCCACGCCGCAGACAAGCATCTCATGCTGCGCGCACGTCTGAACGACGGACCTTGACCCTTTGATCCAGGGACCGGCGCCTCGCTCCGGTCCTCCACGCCCTGCCAGCTCCGCAGCTGCAGGTCCCTACGCCGCTGGAAGCGGAACATTGGCAGCGCGGCCAGGAGGACGGCGCCGCGGGCGCTGGCGCGGCGGCCCGAGCGGCTGCCGCCCCGGCGGCGTGCGCCCGCAAGGCTGGAGGGGGAGGCCTGGCGGTGGAAGACTTCCACATGAGCCACAATCAAAACCCGGTATTAACATGGTGAACCCAGAACCATGTAAAGAATTAAGAAGCCGGCCACAGCTATTTATGGCTGGGATTGGCCCTTACTAACCTTCATCTACCCGGGTTTTGATTGTGGCTTACATAGGGTCCAAGCCTTCCAATGTCACGAAACACGAACGATACCCATAGAGGAATGCACGTGCTTATAGATCCGCCCCGCCTGCTGCGCAGGGGAGCACCATGGAGAGAGCGGCGCGAGCTTATGGCAGGCATGGCAAGGCGCGGAGCTTGCACAAAGCATCAGCCTTTCCATAAGCAAGTACGCTGACTTGTCAGGATTGATGCAATGAGCGGCAAAGTCAAAAAGGATGGTAGGAAAACCAGTTCTGCCATATCCTGTTCATTGCTTATGCCCATTTCAAGCTGCCCTGCAGCATCATAGTCGGAAACATGTCCATGGATAGTTGTCTGGATAAGTAGGCGCTTGTCAGCACTCAAAGCTAAGCCAACAAACAAAAGTTGTAGTTCAAACAGCCGCACGCAACCATTCACATGGCACCCCCCAACTGCGCAGCAGGGCGGGGCCGACCTTGCCATGGCTCTCGTGCTCAAGTCCGTCGCCGGCCCTGTCCCTCCAGCACATGGCAGGACCCCACCGCTGCCAGAGGCGCTGCTCGCGCTGTGCCGTGATCCGCTATGCCATAAATCAGCAGTCACAATCGTCACAATCAAAGGGCATGTGATTCAAGTATGTCACTCGCTTTAGGGGTGTGGCACATTGGACTATGTCAGCGCCAACACTGCTGGTATTACCTGTTCCATACGCTTGCAAACATGCCTCGACAAGGTGCCGACACCTGAAAAGCCATGCGGCTAAGGCAGAGCAGAGCTTGAATTCGTCACTCCATGCATCAAACTCGGCATGGCCACAACTGAGGCCACCTCAAGGCAAGCCAGGAAGGCTAAGAAGGTGAAGAAGCTGCCAGGGAGCTTGTGTTGCATCTCAAGTGAGTTGCCCAGCTTTCTCAAAATCTCTGAACTCAGGTCCATGTGATAGAAATGCCCCCAAAGGCCGAAACGCTGACTCCAGAGAGCCTCTTCACCAAACATGTATGAGTCCTCGCTCACAATCTCTCGGTCCCCCTGTCTTCCGCTTTTCGCATTACCGAACATCATTTGAGCGAGTCCATGCATGAGCGGGAGACAGAAGCCTTATACGCTGCTGTGCGAAAGCTGTGGCTAACATCTAGGGTCCAGCCACTCGAGTCACTTGTCAGTTGTTGTCCCTGTTGCAATTCACAACTCACCCAGGTTTCAAGAAGAAGCGACTTGGCCAATCCCAAAGTCAGCAACGGCTTGCCCGCTCCCAGGAAGCATCATGACGTATAGGCTGGAGCAGCGGCACAGCGCTCAAGATAGTCGCCGAAAAAAATCGGGGCCCATGAAAAGGCATTCGTGAATGAAGGAGATTCAGCGAAACAACACCAACAACTCGGGAACCTGCAAACAACTACTTGGTTCTTCAAGGGGACATGGGAAAATTAGCTGGTCCCCAGGCTTTGTGGTGGTATTGTGTGTCCTCATTGTCCTCCCCAAAGAGTTGCTCTAATGGACAGCCAACATCCGGCCCATGGCCCAACCACGCGCCAATTTTCTCCTCAGAGGAAGGTCATCCCATCCTCGTCCTCGCCTGGCGGGGCAGCCTCCGCTGCCTCCTGGGTGCCATCGGTCGCCTTAAACCTCACCCCACCAAAAGGGAGCTCGTGTTGAAATGGACCAAAATGCAGTCTTCAACCATGTTTCGTCAACTGACAGGAAATGTGACAGACTCTGTCCTTGACCTTTTCCTGCTCCGGGCTGGCTGCGACCTCCTCATCCAGTTGGATGGGCCCACCAGCAGCAATCGGAACCCTTCTTCGGGCTGGCTGCTGCGTGTCTGCCCTGGGCAAGCTGATTCGGACGAAGAGACGTGCGCGCGCCAACATCTGTCATCAGTCGGGTCATCAACAGCTTCTCCGAACAGACAGCCCCTAGGACCCTGCCTGGTGATGATTAAGTCTGTGTTGTCAGTGGATGTAATCATGACATCGCTAGAGGAGGAGCTTGATCTCTTCCTCTTCTTCTTTTTGCGCACTCCGAGATCTCGGTTGCGCTGGTTCACCTTTGCACCACAAGCATACAAGTTGTGCAGCAAAACAAATCATTCAGTTTATCCTCTGAACCATTGTGCAAATCGGTCAGAAAACCGGCGCGCAGCACATCATGAGAACATTGATTTGTCTGATAGAACCCCTTAACATGCTGCCTGATGGGTTGTATCGACGTAGCATGTCAACATCAGGCGATCTGACAAGACTTGATGGTGCTCAGTGGGGAATGAAAAATGGAATGACCCCTATAAACCATCCAACTGGTGGCTTCCTTTATTCGGGGACCCCAAAACGGTTCATTCCATTTCTCATTCCATTCCCCTGTCGCACCGATCGCACGATACGAATGTCATCCCGAGTCGCCTCTTTCAAGGCAGCCTGGACTTTGCCCATCTTCTCCTCGATTTCGCTGGGCTTCTCACCCGCATCCTTTGCCCCTTGTACCTACAGTGTGGCACCAGATGTATGGAACTGGAAACAAGAAGGGCACCCCACCTCAGGCGAAAATGTGCCACAACGATTTGGACTCTTCTCGGGGTGGAAAACAAGCCACGACGACACTGTTGCCATTTGGGAAGGTGCGGAATTCATCTTGGACCTCTCTCCTTATCCCCCTTTTCAATTAGTCGTGTTCAAACGGGAAGTTCCCAATTTAAGGAATTTTCACATTTGAGGTCAGTCCAAAAATGCGGGACCCTGTTTCGAATGTGTGAGAGAGAGAGAGGGAGAGGGAGAGAGAGAGGGGGGTACCATTTCGGGATTTCGAGCAAACCCTTCCAATTTGAGTTTGGGATTTTGCCGGGGACGGGAGTTACGCATGCTTGTTGTCAAATGTCAGCTTTTTCAGAACAAGCGCTCTCTGCAATTCACACCGTGATTGTTGACTTCAGGATTTCGCTTTGGGATTCGATGAACATGTAGTTCCCATAAAATATGGGTCAAAATCAAACCACCAGGGGACCACAGGTTTTAGTCATTGGTTCCATTTAAAATTTACCAGAAGTAGCAGGGTGCCATTTTGGGGTTGCGCTATTTTTGACCCACGGCCAAAAGAGTCGCTCAATTGGCCCGGCGCCGGGCCTTCTTCCAGGCCTCCAGCCGCTTCCGCTGCTTCTCCTCGTCGGGCAGCTCCCCCGCGTTGGCCGCGGCCTCCTGGGCGATGGTCAGGCCCCCGCTTGGTTTGGCCAGCGGCGGCCGCGGCGCGGCACCCGCGGACTTCCTGAGGAAGTTGTGGCGGGAGGAAAACAAAACTTCAGCTGTCGCCTGAAAGAGTGAACATCCCAATCCCCACTAAAATAGACTAAAATGGGTGGTGCACCTACCATTGGTTTTGACCCACAGCCAGTTGAAAATTTCGAAAAGGCTTGGCACAGTAAAACTGTAAACTATATACGCGCGGCGACAATCTTGGTAACTTGACCCGGACGGAGAGTCACACCTAACTATGATACATAACGTGCCAATCCTTAATCAGCAGGCAACCTGTTGCCCGAGAACTGTACTCCAGGCCTCCTGACCCTCCAGTCTTGATCGGGCCCACTTGACTTCCTTCTGCTGCTGTCAGGGGGTCAATTACACGCCGGCTTCGGCTGAAGACTACAATCCTACGACAATAACAACTGACCCAAGACGGATATGCTGAGGAAGAGAAACATATTGTTTGTGCTTAAAAAGGAAAAATAATACGGATAGGCTTGACGGTCTTCAGTGTGAGCGTGCCACCGAAGACACAAAAACGACATTTAGAAAAGTGAGTCAGTTTGGGGTTGTGACGTGGTACACCATCATTTGGAGTTGGAAGTTGCAAAGTGCACCTGCTGTTCATCAAAAGCTGTGCATATTGCTTTGGATCGGAACTTTTTCGCGCAGGGGAAGCCAAAAAGCAAGGCCAGGCGATGTGGGGGGGGGGGGGTTACCATGGCGATACACTGAGGTGCCCTGCAAGGCAAAAGGGGCGATGCATTGAGAATCCACGCGACTCCGCCAAATTTTGTCGGGTGTCTTGTTCCAAGCAAACCTCAAAGCGTCTGCCATGGCTCGGGAGTGAGCCAAATCAATCTGCGCAGGGATAGCTTGGCTCGGGTTTCCTGACTCATGGGTATTGCACAGAGCATGGCGATGGCAGGGAGAATAAACATGCGCCGACTCCAACATCCCACCGGCGTTGCAAGCAAATCTGTCTGTTTCGCCGCCAACAAACAGCCACACCTAGCCCATATTCTGCATACTTCTGCGCAAGAGACTTTGCAGGTCAAACTGAGACAGTCTGGCCGTCTTGAAGTCCATTTGGTGATTCTTGAGAAAAGCCTTCATGTTGCCGACATGCTCGCCTCGCTAGGCTTAACATGCTCGAAACTTGGTTAGAGCCAGAAGTGGAAAGGACACGCTGCGGAGAATGCCGTGGAAGACTACAATTTGCCGTTCTCATTCATCCTGTTGTGCTCTCCCAAACTGCCTTGCTGGATCCCTCCAACATGTGCCAGTAACGATACTCATGGCACATTGTATCAAGGATGCAAGCCCGCGGCTTGATGCCACGTCAGGCCTCAAACATTTGTAGCCCTTGTGGAAAAAGCCTTCGGCTACCTTCATCCAACCTAGAGAGAGGAAAAAATGGCAGAGTCACACCTCAAATCTCTGACTTGAGCAAAGCTCTGAGCTCAAGAAAGCCTACGCGCCCAGCTGATCCCTTTTGGCATTGAGCGGCTGGCTGGCGTGCAGTTGCGTCTGTTCTGATGCCACATCCACTCCTGTCTCAGTCCGAACCGAACCGAGCTGCGCTCAGATTGCGAGAAGCCACTAACTGTAAAATCCAACGCCGACACCTGCACCCTCTTGTGTGGCACTGTCGGACCCGGCACCCGCGAAAAGTGGATACGCCAGTCTATGCAGATGGTTGCTAAGCCCGCAGGCACCAGCACTTTCCAAAAAATGTACTATGAGCAGAGCCCAAGGGTTGACAATGTCTTCGCAAACTCTTCAAAATTCCAGGTATCATGTACTGCGACCCGTTTTGGTCGACCCTTGTGCAGCAGATTTAAACCAGTCTCCTCATATGACTCATATGAGATGAGCAAAGTCCCTCGGGAATAAACATGTGGCAATGCAAACATCCATCTGTAGGATGTCAGCAAAGTCCCTCGGGAATGAACATGTTGCAATACAGACATCCAATCAGAAGGGGTCCTCCTCCTCTTGTTCACCCTCCTCCTCCTCCAATAAATCTAGTGCGATGTCATGGCCTGCCCGCGCTAGCAAACGGCAACCTTTTTAAAACAAGTGCAATCACCATGGCACAAGCCGTGGAGTGCGACCAACACATCGTGTCCAAATAACGCGTTGGTTAGAAGAGAAATAGAGAAAGCACTGATGGCTTTTTGGTTCTTGCTCCCTGACTCCAGCCTTCAGAAATGCCTGGACAGGCAACTACCTTCAGCACCTGGTTTGGCTGCAGGATCACTTCGGAGACGCGATTTCGCACGCAATACTCGCTGAACTCCTTGGCTGGCTTCGATCATGCTGCTGCTTTGACAAGCACTCTCGAGCAAATTCTGATACACTCTGTGAGACAAGGTCGCTTGCAGACTTCTACCCATTCGATCTAACATCAAGCAAAATTGCATATAGGGGACGTTAATTTCCTTTTGGTGAAAGCAAGACACACTGCAGTCTTGCCAACAGTCCCTCGTACTGTCATCTCTTGCGCTTCCAGCACACTCAGCGTTCTTGTCTCATGAGCCCCAATAGCTAAGCCTGACGGGATGGCCTGAATCTCGGCTATCAATCGATGCTCAACCTCTTGCAACCGGACTGCTGAGATTTCGCAAACCCAGTGGGTTGTCAGGCGGATGACGCCAGCACCAGCAGAGCGTGCGACTTCCAAGTGGCGTGTCCAACTGGTGAAAGTCCGCCAATAGATCTTGGAATGATTCAAGAAAGCCAATGTGCACTACGCGAATGGCCCCGGTCTTAAGGCCCTGACATACATGCCCTCCTCCAGGGTGAGGTTCATCTCTGGCATGGCGCCTCGGTGTGATCACTTTAAGAGTAAGGGCAACCGCTCTGCCAGACATTGTCTTTTCCAATGTCGGAATGCCAGGCCGACAAAGTGTGTCTTCCCTGTCGCACATGTTCCTGTCAGAAAGTAAAGAGTTGTCCTGCGTGGCTCATCAAACAGCCCGTCGCAGAACTCAGCGTAAGGACATGGTCACTAGCCAAAGCACAAATGATCCCGCTTTTCAAGTTGGGACGCACCCCAAAAGTGCTGATATGATGGTGTATGTCTGGTCCCCATTCAAACAAATCCAAAACGTGTGTTCAACTTGCAAGGCACAATAGAGGAAGGTCGCCTCGGGCTGCCGCTGCATCCGCTTCTCCACAGCCTGCTTGAAGTATCGCAGGAAGAGCCCAGCCTCTTGCAGCTGGCGCTCCCGGACCAAAGACCCCAGCAGTGCCCAGAAGTTGGCACTCGGCGGGGCAGGGGGATGGTCATAGGCATAAGCGACCAGCGCAAAGAGCTCGTCCAGCTCCAGGCCGAAGGGTTTGGCTTTGCCGTGAGCCTTCATGATGGACTTTGCATAGTTGCCACATTCCTTGGCTACGTCATGGAACTATGCAAACTCCCACGTCGTCGTTCCACCCGAACAAAACCTGAACAGTGCGTGTGACAAGGGCAGTCGACATTGGCGTGCTGAGATTGCCTACCCCCTTGTTGCACAAATCCTGGTGTTGGTTTTGGACGGTTCATGACACGCCAAGGCTCCTTCCGTGCCACGGCTCCCCAATTCTTCCGCTTGTCTTGCAAGTGCAACTTCATGAGCTGCTCGAAACACTCCGCACACTTCTGCTCCTGGCCTTCCTCTGAGTCAGGCAGAATGAAGGCGCCGTACAGCGACGGCTGCAGATCGTGGGCGGAAGCCACGAAGCGCTCCAGCCAACATCTGCGAGCCTAGCACGCCGCAGTTCAACCAACGCATCCCCACAGCTGTGGCAGGCTGTTACAACAAAATTAGGAAGTCCCTTGGTGCAAAGCTCATAGCCACGTGCTGCTTTAGTGCTAATGTGCGCAATAGACAATATGCTGCTCTGGCAACGAGGACGTTGCCAAGGCATGAGGCTTCTCAAAAAGAACTTTCAGGCTGTCACGGGGAACCAATCCGCCTCGCCCGTTGTACATGGTATCTGGTGAGAGTTCATTATGTTGCGTAGCTTTCCTGACTGGGAGGAATGCCTTTCCATCCATCGAATTCCGCTTTCCCACCTCAATGCTGTCTCAGGCGCCAAAATCAAGATGCAACTTTTGACCTGTTCAAACAGTCAAGAATCCCGAATCCTAATCCATAGTGAGGCGCCACCGCAAACCACAACCATCTGGCACAAGTATTGCGCATTCACTTTGAACCCGGGCTTTTGCGTTAAGCTGCACCTTGCCAACTGGACCGCGCCTCCGGCACCACCTGCCATGAGGCCAGGCTTTCGAGGTCCCACTCTGAGCTCACCTCGGACTGGACCTGGGGTGGGGGAGCGCACCGCCAGCAGCTGCAGTCCAAAGGTGTTCAGCTGGGGAGAGCCAGCTGACTGTGGCCCAAGTGCCACTTCCGGCAGGAAATGCAGCAAAAAGAAAAAAGAAAACCACAGCTCAGCAAACAGCCTTGATCTCAAGTTGCATGCAAGTGGGTCACGGCTCTGACAGTAACGTGCCTTTAGTTCACCAGGGCTCAGGCAAAACAAGCTTCCAAATTAGCACACTGCTGTGACCCTGCCGAGCCACTTTCATCGCAATCAACTGCTGGCTTGTTGCCTGCTCTGACCAGGCCTGGACGCTGTGAGGCATGCTCTAAAACCGAAAAGAAAAACGGCCAATACGTCATGAACTGCTTACTCCTCAGGTCACAAAAAGAATCATCCTAGCGCCTCCTTCACAGCAGGCACTGGCTTCTCCACTGCCTCCTCTTGGCTGTCCTGCCACAATCATGATTTGCTCCAAAGCTGATAACATGCTCGCCACGTACCACGGTATCACAGTTCCTTGCACATTGCACGCAACAAACAACGAAGAGCCCAAACCTCGCACAACTAAGTTGGTCAATATCGTGCAACAACAGTGTGTCAGGAAACTTACGGACACTTTCAGAAAGTCATCTCAACAGCCAGCCAATCACTGGTCACGCCCTTAAACACACAACTGCCTCCATCAAAAGCAATATCGCTTCGAGCTTGAAAGTTGATGCTATGTTCGTCATGTATCACGGCATCACAGTTCCTTGGACATTGCATGCAGCACACAACAAAAAGACCAATCCCCACAACCAGGTCTGTTAGCATCGTACAACTACAGAGTGCCAGGTGTGGCTGCAAAGCAGAAACTTGCCGACACTTTCAGAAAGTCATCTCAACAGCCAGCCAATCACTGGTCACGCCCTTAAACAAACAACTGCCTCCATCAAAAGCAATATCGCTTCGAGCCTGCTTCACAGCAAGCACTGGCTTCTCCGCTGCCTCCTCTCGGCTGTCCTGCCACAATCACTGTTTGCTCCAAAGTTGATGATATGTTCGTCATGTATGGCGGCGTCACAGTTCCAAGCACATCGCATGCAACAACCAACCGAGAGACCGATCCCCGGACAACCAGGTCTGTCAATATCGTGCAACTACGGTGTATCAGGTGTGGCTGCAAAGCAGAAACTTACGGACACTTTCAGAAAGTCATCTCAACAGCCTGCCAATCACTGGTCACGCCCTTAAACAAACAACTGCCTCCATCAAAAGCAATATCGCTTCGAGCCTCCTTGACAGCATGCACTGGCTTCTCCGCTGCCTCCTCTTGGCTGCCCTGCCACAATCATGATTTGCTCCAAAGCTGATAACATGCTCGCCACGTACCACGGTATCACAGTTCCTTGCACATTGCACGCAACAAACAACGAAGAGCCCAAACCTCGCACAACTAAGTCGGTCAATATCGTGCAACTACAGTGTGTCAGGTGTGGCTGCAAAGCAGAAACTTACGGAGACTTTCAGAAAGTCATCTCAACAGCCTGCCAATCACTAGCTGCCTCCATCCAAAGCAATATCGCTTCGAGCCTCATTCACAGCATGCACTGGCTTCTCCGCTGCCTCCTCTTGGCTGTCCTGCATAATCATTATTTGCTCCAAAGCTGATGACATGCTCGCCATGTACCACGGCATCACAGTTCCTTGGACATTCCATGCAACAAACAACAAAGACACAAATCTGCGCACAGCCAAGCCTGTTAGTATTGTACAACTGCAGTGTGTCAGGCGTCCGCAAGCTTGCGGACACCTAACATTCATCTCAACAACCTGCTTCGTGTAATTGTCCTCAGTATAGGTTGCTGCTGTGATCAACCGCTTGTCCGTCCCAAGTCATGTCTCAGGGCCTCCTTCAAACTTCTCGCAGCTTCCTCCGCTGCCTTCTTTTGGGTGGCCTGCCAATGATTATTCATCGCAAAGCCTTCGCACAGCTCCTTCCAAGTAGCAGCAAACTACAAACAGCTGGCGGCTACTCCACGGATAGCCAAGTCACTCTACTGTTTTACTGAATGATGTGGCGAGTGGCGAGTGGCCAGTTGCTGATCTGTATTGAAACAGCAAGTGTCCTTGCGTTCATCCAGCTTGTCAAAACTCACTGGACTCGTCACACTGTTTGCAAGTGCAACGCTCGTCACAAGTAATCGCAACTCGCCTCCGGCACAACTTGCACTACATGATTACCTCCACTCCCAATTGCTTTCTATCGCATTGAGTCTGTATCAAAACCGGGGGACCCATAACAAATGACCTCCGTTCACCAAACCCAACAACAAAAAAGGCGCCAAGCCTCAAACTCAAACTCTTGCCAAGAGCCCTCCCGACTCCCACCTGACGCCGAGCGGAATGGGCGCGCCAGGCTTTCTGCATGCTGTGGGCTGCGGTGTGGAGAGCCGTCTGAGCCTTCGCCGGCTCCGGCTCTACGTCCAGCAGCAGCTGGTAGTAGCGCCCCTGCCAGTGGAGCCCCTTGCTATGGGCCCGTGCCTTTTGGGAGTTGGTATCTTGGTTGTCCTTTTCAGGTTGGTTTGAAGGGAAACCAAAAGAAAAGGCACCATTTGGGGGGCAAACCTAGTTTGACTATGAGGGTTGCTCAAAATGAAAGGAGCTGTGCCATTTTAGAGCCCAATGCCTTTTTGGTGCAGCTTATGGTGACCACAAAAGGATGTAAACACCCCTCACGTGGATATGATGTGTTTTTTTGCTGTAGTTCCCTCGAAATGTGAAGCCAAGTCTATCTCTCTCTTCCTCTTTCCTCTCCCCCTTCGAGCTTTTCAGACCATTTGATTGAAGAAGCATTCCTCGTCTCAAGGGATTCGCAAGAGAACCGGAGAACCGATGTCTGTGCCAAAGGCTTCAATCGGATGGGTCCTGAAAGCTGAGCAGCACCTCCTGGCCCTGCACCGTCCGCTCCTCCGCCTCCGGCGGCACCTCCACGATCTCCGGAAATCCGCCGACGGCGCGGATCGCCTCCTCCAGCTCCGCGCTCGCCCAGCCGCTGAAGGGCCCGGCCACGAAGCGCTGCCAAGCGTCGGGCAAGACGCAGGTAGCCTGCGCCCCGTCAGCTGCATCGGGGCCGCGGAGCTTGGAGCAGGCGATCCTCCACAGCTCCCTGCCCAGGCCCTCCACGCTGCACTCCTCACATGGAAGACACTAGAGCTCGCAAAATTGTTGGCTCAGTGCCCTGTGCGAGCCGTAACGCTGTGTGCCCCTAGTCCCATGCCTCCGCGACCCAAACTTCACCTCACAACGACACACAATCCTCCACAGGCACATCTGCACGCCTTCTGTCGGAACGTCTGATCAGGCAGTGTATTGATTTCAGACTAGTGATGTGCAATACTTCAAGCTCCTTGTAGTGAAGCAGCGAATCCAACGGTTGCAGCTTGATCCTGGACAAAGATCTCTGCCAGCCAGTGCTGCCCTCCTTTCCTCATTGCAGGGCTCTCTATCTGCCTGTCTGTCTGTCTGTCTGTCTGTCTATCTGTCTATCTGTCTGTCTGTCTGTCTGTCTGTCCATCCATCCATCCATCCATCCATCCATCCATCCATCCATCCATCCATCCATCCATCCATCCATCCATCCATCCATCCATCCATCCATCCATCCATCCATCCATCCATCCATCCATCCATCCATCTATTATCTATCTAATCTATCTGTCCAATCTATCTAATCTATCCATCCAATCTATCTAATTTATCTATGTAGTATACATACATACATATATATATATATATATGACGGTTGTCTGAAATTCCTTGTTCCGGAAACCGCCATCTTCGCGAGAAAAAAAAATAACTTTCGCGGACCCCATCGCGGAACTTTTGCGGGGCTGTTTTCCCTTGACTCCCCTTGAGCCCATGACAGCTTGCCACATCTTGCCGACAAGCAGCGCAGCTCCTTCATCTGATCCTCATACATGCACAAGAGCTTCTCCACGCACCTGTCAGCTTCTCGAGTTCCTGCAGCGAAAACCAACTGAAGCAAAGACGAGCACCTCTCATGCCCTCTTGGCCAGTCAAGTCGTGCAAGACCAAAAAAAAACTGAACAACTACCGAAGAGGCCCGGGAAATCATGTTGCAGTAAAGTTAAGCCCAATAAAACTAACACCAAATCAAAATTCACCTCCCCTTCTCACCCCGACAGACCGTTCTTAGTCCACTCCTTTGCCCTTTCTCTGACCAGTTTCCCCCCTCCTGACGCAAAGCCACACTGCCGCAGCAGTTCCTTGGAGCCCTCCGGTGCCACGCCACGCTCGGACGCGCAAGCCCAGCCTCAGGTTCCGCGCGCGATGCCAGGAAAAATACGTGAGGTCAACACTCCCACGGCAGTTCCCGTCATGGGAATCCTTATACCTTATCATGGTTTGGGAAATGCCCTCAATATAGGTGTCCGCATGAGTCTGATCATTCCAAACTTGAATTGAAGTTGAGAAAAAGAGCCTGAATAATTTGCATATATGTAGTGCAACGTCGACCACTTTCGTCAAATAAACCAGAAAACCTGTCACTTAATTGTTCAAAGAGCGCTGCATACCTACCATTGTCATGACTGTCCGTCCGCAGCAACCCCGAGCAGAAGGGCGTCACAACCATTGCAAACTTTGTTTTGTCTGGCGCGAGCGTGCGATATCTCCCACAGAAACGCATCTTTGCCATATGTACAGGAAGTCAGACTACGACCGTCCACTGCGACTGGTGAGGGCATGAACTTTGAGCCACAAAGACAATGGCCACTTTCTGCACGGTGGCATAAAGGTCGCCCTAAGGATTCAGCTGTCCGTATATTCCTTATCGTAAATTTCCACATCAGCGGAACAGTGTAAAGAAATTTTCACTCCAGAAGAGGGATCCGATGGAACTGTCATCAAATCTGTCAAGACCTTCATCCTCGGGTCGCGATCCCAGATGGCGGAGTTGATGGCCTTGGAGGCAGCCTCATGGCTCGGATGCGCGTTTATGATCTCCTGAACTCGCTGCAGAGCTGCGGCGTCCTTGGTGACGCCCAGAAGTGCTGTGCCCACGAAGGCAGCAATCGCATTGCGATACACGCGGACCACGAATGGAGCACCGCCCATTTGCGCTCTCTTTGCACACTTTGCACACTTTGCACACTTTGCACACTTTGCGCACTTTATTGCGCACTTGAGCCGAATGCTACCCGAAATGGCTACGGGGCTTGTCTCCAAATATGGAACACCCACTTTTGTTTCCCTTCAACCCAGCCCGAAACTGGTGCCCTCAAAAAAGGCACGCCCATGGCTTCCGTCAACTAGAATTTGCTCTGAACATTGAAAGCAGAGCCAATATGGAAAGGATGCGACTCTCTTGCGGAACGAAATGAGCGCTTCTAGACAAGCCTCGCCTGAAAACCAAGCTCCACTATTGTGTACATTGTCTGCACAAGGCATGAGGGAGCTGCGTCACTTTTCAAAGAGGCGGACATGTTAATCCTTCGAGTATCCCATTTGCCTCCTCCTGCGTCGCGTTCGGTCCTGTTTTCTTTGCTATCAGTATGCTATGCGATGGCTCGCGTATGAACAAGCTGAAGCCAAGCGGCAAACCAGGCTGAGGATCAGCTCCTTTGGCACCTCAAGCTGCGTCTCAATGACAGAGTTCATCTCCAGCTCGGGCCCTGCCCCAGACGCCCCACAGAATTTCTGCTCCAAATGAATCAGGCCAAACCCTGGTGTGTCCGTGCCCCAGGCGCAAGCGCGTCACATGTATAGATGATGATGAACTCTGCAAACAAATGAGACAGAATCAAAACCCGGTTTTGAAATTATCTACCCAAAAACATGTAAGGAACTAAAAAGAAGGCGGCTGCAACCATGCATGATTGTGGCTCAATTGAGAAGTCACCGGTGCGACTCACCCGCCTTCCCACCAATCTTCCGGCTCTGCGTGCTCCTCTTCCAGCAAGCGTTGCAGCCCCTGCCGCGGGTCCCAAACCGTGGCCTGGTCCAGCACCGACTTCTGCGCGCGTACCTGAAGCTAGCGATGTGTGCTTTGCATCTTGGATGTCCGGGTTTCCTGGTGGTCTCCCATGTGAAAGCAGTCAAGAGAGGATGTGTTTTTTTGTTTTTCCCCTGTGGACAAACACGCACCAGTTGGCACTTTGCAAGTCCGAGCTGGGATGTTTCCGGCCTCTCGCATGAGAAGGCGTAGCTGTTGCAAGACCGCCACCAGGTTGCAGCCCAACACATCGTCTGGCAGCTCGGACAGAAGGCTCTCCTCCCCATGGACCGTCTCGTAGCTGCTTCGCAGGGGCAACCCATCGCGGCGCATGAGGAAGTTGCAGAAATTATCGTCCTTTCATGAGAACTATAACGCCTAAGGTCAAATTTCCGCAGTCCTGCATCAGCCTGCTGTTTGCAATGTGATACACTGTTTGAGGGCTTTTTTGCACGTCTCTTCAGTGCTCCCTCTTCCGTCCTCCAGATTCGTCATGGTCTCCCGAAGCTGCGCGTCTCTCTCCGCCAATTTCGCTTGGCTCCCCGGCGGGCCAAATGCCAGCACGGCGGTCAGCACTTGGGCAAGCTCTGGCGAGGGCCGCACCGCCAACACGCTGGAGAAACGGCTGAACTCGCCATTTTCCTGGAAGCAATGCGGGTTACGATTCTGATTGAGAGTACAAACTGCCTGACTCGCGCAACGAGTAACGCATGTGCATGGTCCTCTCTCTTGGAGGACAAACATATTGATTTGGTATGAGTTCTCATTGGGGGCATGTTGGTAGACCTCAACTACATGAAAACTCGTGCAAAAAACAGAGAGACTGTTTGGAGGGCAGGGAACAAATTCACCGCTACTTCGTCTGCCAAAAGGAAACGAAAGAAGCGAAAGACACATAGGGCAACCAACAAATATACGTCGAGACCACGAAAACGGTCGAAACAATCACCCTAGTTTGGATGTGGCTAATTATTGCGGATCCACCCCTGCAGGATATCAAAAGAGGAAAAAGAACAAAAAAATAACAAAAAAAAAGGACCAACAGAAAGGAAGAACAGGTGAAATCCACAAAAAGCGCAAAATCCAAACCCGTTTTCCAGCAGCTTTGCATGCTCCGTCGCTTCTAACCCCGCCTCGTCCAGGATCTGGCCGAGCCGTCGCAGGGCTCCCACCTTGATGCCTCGCAGAAGCTGGACTGCCTCGAGACCGGGGCGTTTGGAGACGCTCGTTCTGGGACAGCTCCGGGCATTTCATTTGCAGGCCAACATAGCTTTGGATTCTTGGTATATAGATCACCTAAGTTCGGATGGAAAGTCATTGCGAGCCTTGAAGCAGTCGTTGGTTCCCCAGATTCTGTATGTAAACCCATGGGCTTCCAGAGGAATCCCCTTCAATGTGGTCATCATTGGTAACTTGGAGACTGAAAAATAGCAAAATACGCTCAATGGATCCACAAGCCCAAGCACTGCGGAACAGGACCTGTCTACTTGTAGTTTGCGTGAATGTGTTGTTGTATATACAGTAGATACATGCCATCATGAATCTATGTGTATATCTATAATATATATATATAATCCAATTTGGCGCGCAAGGGCTTAGGAGGCGGCTCATTATACATTGTATTATGAGCCGCCCAACCCTTATGTGCAAAGCTGGAATATCCTTGAGAAAGACTCGTTTTCGTTTTTGACGGTGTTTGGACATGAGATCCTTTGTTTTGAAGACTCGCCTTCGTTTCTGTTGTGTTTACCTTGCTCCAATGCATATCCCTCATACGAACCCTTTTAGCAGTAGCTCGTATATAAATTGTTGACATAACAATATCAATGTGTGTCCATCAGCAATAAGCAAACAGCCAAAGTTCAGTCAAAGCAAAGGCTAGTAAATTCCAAATCTCCACATCGCAAACAGAGCTCAGCGGCTTCCCAACGAGACCTCTCGATTTCGTGTCTTCCGAGTACATCACAGAATGGAGGGCTGGAAACGTGCTCACTCACTCCCGCGCTCTGCGCCTGGGGTGGCCACGCTTCTTGCTGAGAACGAATCTCCTCCTGCTCCAGCACCAGCGTCGACTGGTTTGCATCACCTCAAGCCACTTGGCGAAAACTGGCCAGATCGAACAGCGGAGTGAAACAGCTCAGGCCCTTGCTGGACCCGGTTGAAGTGTCCGCTCTTTGGTGCTTGTCAAATTTCGGAGAACCCAAGACTTTGACCAGCCCATGCAAACCGGCACCGGAACCAAACCATCAACCGCTGGGCTCGCGGCCCAGCTGCAGAGCCACGCGGGCCACCACCTCCCGACAGCCCTGGAGGTCTGGCAAAGGCATCTGAGCCAAGCTCTCCATGATCTGCTCCTGCCAAATGCTCCCTTCAGCTTTGCTTTTGTTGACTCCCAGACGTTGCGCACGAACAACCACCACTCCCATCTCCATGTTTGCGTCTTGAGCCATACACAACTGGTAGCAAACGCCCGTTGCCAGGAACAGAAGGACAGAGTCGTCGAGTGACCTTGTTCCTTCTCTCCAGCCAAAACACTCAACCGAACATTGGTTACTGGGCCTTCGATGGGAATACCCACAAAAGGCGGTTGTCCTTTGGTTTCCCCAGCCAAGGGGAACTGTAACGCAAGATTGCTTTGAAAAACGCCACCCATTGTGTGTTGTGTGTCTCAAACTGGGGGGGTCCACTTTTGTTTTTGTAGACTTCCCTCTACCTTCCGCGTAAAGCACCCCCAAAAAAAGAGACGGTGCCCTCAAAAATCTGACAGGTCGCTCCTCCATCTCCTTGTCCAAGGCCTCCGGCTGCTCCTGGCCGCCCTCACGGCGCGGCAGGAAGGCGCTGGCCTCGGGGAAGTTCAGGCGCTGCACGCGGTGCACCCAGGCGGAGCTCAAGATCTCCTGGTGTTTTTTGTTGGCGTTGGGTTTTTTGTTTTTTGTGTTTTTTTTTGGGGGGGGGGGGGCGGGCGGGGGGGCGCGGGGGGCGGCGGGGGGGCGGGGTTTGGGGCTCAAGTCCTTTTAGGGCGTAAACTAGACAATGGAACCATCTAAGAAGGCAATGCACAGTGAACAGATTGGGAAGAGGAGGGAAGGGAAGGGAAGGGAAGAGAAGGCCGGAACGGCGATGTCGGCTTTGATGCAAAAATGCCTGGCTGTGAGAAGGTAAACACGTTAAGTCAAAACGTATGCTCGGCAGTCTAAGCACGATGGAACTTTGCCCTGCACGGCTGAAGGGTCCTTGTCTGGGGAGGTCTCTGATTGCAGGTCTGTTGGGGATGTTACGGCCACTGGTTTTGCTTTCTGGGTGTCCCGTGTTTGGACTCTGTTGGCCAACCTGGTAGATCGGCAAGGGGGAATGTCCATGGGTCCAGAAGTGAGGCCACAGAGGTGCGGCTAAAGTTGCCCCCTGCGTCCTGCTGCACGGCGGGCCACTCCACCCGGGGCATCTGGCCCTGAGCTCCCCGCAGCTGGCGCAGCACGGAGCGCTCCAAGGTCTCGCTCTGCAGCGTCTCCACCAACTGCTCCTGGAAGAAGAGGTCCGCCAGCCACACCGGCACCTCCCTGGCAGACTGGGACGTTTGGAGTCCTCAATAACTAGACTTAGCCCGACTCGAAGCCAAGACCAATTCAATGTTAAACCATTGCTCAACCACGAGTGCTTCCAAACTGCGCCTCATCCATTCGAAGGATGCAGGGCTGTATGCCTCCTAATGCGTACTGCGCAACCCGACATGGTGCTCTGGAAGCGGTTACTTGCCAACATGCCCAAGTCTGCAAGCGTCGACACGCACAAAGCCACAGGTCGGGCGCGCCTCTTCATCCGACCGGCCCACACCGCAGAGCCATCGCCCTGACCCTCCAAGGAAGCCACCGCGCTGTCCACCAGCTCATTCCAAGTGGTGCAAAGGTGCTTGGCCACCATCTAGGCGTGCAAATCCAACTTCAAACGGCCATGCCGCAAGCCCTCTCGCACGTTGCTTGGGTCCAATTGCGAATAACATGAATGCCGACGCCGAGAGCCCACGCCCGAAGAAGAAAATATCATCGCAAGATGCAGCTCAGTTGCTTGCGGCTGACATTCAGCGTCTCCGTTCAAGAAGAACCTCAGCGGGATCTTCTGGTCGTCCTCAATGGCCTGGCAGACGAGTCCGGGAGAGCTCCAAAGCCGAGCAAAAACGCACAGCAGTTGAACGGAAGCCCCAAAAACCAACAAGCATTGCCTCACTTGCCAGGACCCAAAGAAAAAAACGTGATCACCTTTGAGGGCCATGACTAAATCTGGTTGCCGACATGGGAAAACCAAACGGTCAAAAGGTTGATTCGCTTTGAACAAGCGCGCCTCCAGGCGTGTTTGCTGCGCCTCAAGGCCAGCCCTGGCACGAGCCGCCTGGCACTCAATGGGGATTTGCCCGTCATTCTCCGCGTAGAACTTCTTCCAGCCCTGCCTGACAGCGCAGACTCTGTATGCCTGCATGACGGCGGCTTGGGGCTTCTGAGCAGCGGCCAAAAGACTGTGACTGTGGGTTCTACCAACATGCGGATGAACTTGCTTTAATCGTCTGGGCAGCTTTTTGAGTGGCATTATATCATGTGAAGAGCGTAAATCAACGAAAGGCGCGCCAAATGGCAAGTGGCACAAATCGCTGGAAGCTCGAGATCGCAATCTCGCAGTGCCGCGCATCACTCACGGAGCCTATGGCCTGAGCCAGGAGTCTTTGGCCTCTGATGCTGTTGAGCCAACAACCCAGACTCTGACAACTGACCATCTCAGGATGTATGCAAAGGGGTAGTGCATAGGTGAGCAAACACGCAGGATGTGATCAATGCTCACCTAGCTGAAACAAGCATGCAAAGCGGCAAACCTCCCGTGCCTTGTCTTTCGCGAGTCGCTTCTTCATCAGCTGCAGCACCGGCTGGTCCAGGCATGATTCCGGCAGCGCCCGGTTGAGTCGGTCGAAAATCCAGTTCTGGCAGGCTGAGGGATATTCGGTCCACCTGTCACCTTATGGAGGGGAGTCTATAGCTGTCTAACATCTTCTCGGGGAAATGAGGATTGTCTGCGGCCAGCGGCCACAACCCTTTCTGCAGAGCTCAGGCTTTCCACTGACAAGTCTAGCTATGGCGCCGTCTCCTTGCTTTGAGTTGAAACTGTCGTTGGGGCAAATGCCCAGTCGAATTTCTGCTGTGAATGAGTGTTTTCTCCAAAAGGGCACTACCCGCAATTGGCCGGCTTAGCATTCCTGCCCTGCACCAACTGCCAAGCGATCCAAAAGGCAAAAAGGCCCTTGTTTCCCGCCGCCTGCACCACCACGATCTGTGCCAGCAGCGGCAAATGGGAGAGCTCCTCCTGGCAATATCGGCGTTTCAATGGCAAGGATTGGTGCAAACCAAGGCGAGGCGCACACGCAAAATCATTTCACGGTGCTTGTTGCGTGGGCGAGCCGAGTCAGTCGAGCTTTGAGTCTAGGCCGGATGGGAAAACGAATGACTCCCCGTTTGTGGGAAATTAAGTGAGTCCCTTCCATGTTCAAAAAATCAATGACAGGCTACTGGATTCGATCGAACCCAGTTCAAGCAGCCAAAAGTCAAAGCTCAGGCTCCTGACGGGTGATCAGCGCAGTCACAAAGGAGAGCTCAGGGGCTGCTGGCAGCACCAGCTTGCACGCTTCAAAGCGGAAGTGCAAGAAGCTCCTTCGAAAATACAATGCCACAACAGTTCAAAAATCACACGCCCGAAAACACGCCCCTGACCCTGTGGTGTGACCAGTGAGGAAAGTTACTGCTGTCCCTAATCATTGGGAGAAGAGAGTGCAGCGCTGCCGGCCCTGCTGTGTTCCGCTCGGAAGCTATTAAAATCTCTCAAATGTGTCTGCACACAGACCAGAAATATGGATGTCTCAGAAAGGGGAACCCCTCCCAAAAATAAACTCAGGCCATATCCCCAACAGCAGGCGGTGCTCTTTTTAGTGCTCGCACAACCCCACAGCCCTCGCAGAACCTCGTGGAACCCCTGGTGGAACCCTGGTGGAACCCTGGTGGAACCCGGTTGGAACCCTCGTGGAACCTTAGCCCCGGACCACCCCGGAGCCTATCTGGGCTAAGACCCCAAAGCTTTCAGCTGTTGGGGAAATATATATATATATATATATTTTTTAAGCCTTGCCTGTAGCAGTAACTCTTTACCACCAATTTACCTCAAATTTCACCCCAATTGTGTGGGTTATTTACCCCAAATGTTGTCCAAGTTTGTTGGTTATTTACCCCCAATTTTGTTGGTTATTTACCCCTAATTTTGTCGGTAATTTACCCCCCAATTTTGTGGGTTATTTACCCACAATTGTGTCCAATTTTGTTGGTTATTTACCCCCAATTTTGTTGGTTATTTACCCCCAATTTTGTCGGTAATTTACCCCCAATTGTCTGGGTTATTTACCCCCAATCGTGTGGGTAATTTGCCCCAATTTTGTTGTTATTAACCCCCAATTTTGGAAATGTGGGGGTTAATAACGAGTCCAATAATTGGGGGGGTAAATCTTCGTATACCGTGGGGAAACCTGGGATTTACCCCCAATTTTTGGACTCGTTATTAACCCCCAAATTTCCAAAATTGGGGGTTAATAACGAGTCCCAAAATTGGGGGTAAATAACCAACAAAATGGGGGGTAAATAACCAACAAAATTGGGGGTAAATAACCCACACAATTGGGGGAAAAATACCGACAAAATTGGGGGCAAATAACCAACAAAATTGGGGGTAAATAACCAACAAAATTGGACAAAATTGGGGGTAACTAACCCACAAAATTGGGGGTGAACGTTCCGCAAAATGATGGTAAATGTTGCCGAGTCGGAAAGCCTGTACAGCCCCTCCTTGCCCGCGTAAAGAAGGCATGCAATTTATTGATAGAGGCAAGCCCTAATATATATTACATGGGTTGTTTCCTCGTGGTTGCCCTTTCAACAAACCTCACAAAGTACACCCTTGAACAAGGGCACTGGAATGGATCTCTGGCGCCAGTGCTCCTCCTCACACGGAAGTCGTGCAACTGCATCAACTGCTCCTGCGCCTGCGAGGTCCGCAGTGCCTCTTGATGTAGTTCCCCGACGCTGCCCAGCACCTCATCCACCAGCCTGCGACAACATATGGCTGTGGCAAAAATAACCAAAATGACACCTTGGTAAATGGAACCAAAGACTGAAACCTGCGTAACCCCAGCTCTTTAAATTTGAGCCACACCCATATTACGAGCTCGCGAGACGGAGACAGACAGACGCAAGCCCACGCCTGCCCCAAGTGCCCTCATAGAGCTGCCGCTGCTCGGCTGTGGCGAAGGTCCGGGCAGCCTGGAAGCCAGCATCCGAGACCTCTGCGCCTCAAAGGTTGTCAAAGTGCTTCATTTTATGCCTGAAGTAAACAACGGAAGTCCGCCACCCAGGCCCAGAAAGGTTGCTGTTTCAAGGCCAGTGACGGAAGCGGTGCGATAGCTGCGAGAAGCATAAGCCTCGATCATCCTCAGAGAGCCCTTGTTGAGCACAAATGCACTCGAAGCAACGGAGGGCAAAGTTCATGGAATAGGTGCGAGCATTCTCAGGCACGTTTCTTCCAGACGGTTCGACTTCGCCCATGTACCTGAGCCAGCATATTAGAAGTGAAACCAAAAGCTATCGACAACTCTTCCTTGAACATAAACAGAACTACCAACTCTAGATGAGCTGCCTCATCGTCAGCACTTGGTCGATGTGCTGACAGTTCTCTGGAAATACCAAGAGGCCGATGGAGAGCATGGCCCAACTGCAGAAGTTGACGAAGTGCAAATGCCGGTTTTCCAAAGGAGGTCGATTCCTTCCTGCACAGCCAGCTGCGTCCAAAACACAGCCACAGTCAAAGTGGTAGCCTTCGGGTCCAGGCAAAGCTCCGAAGCAGAAGCCGACAGGAAAGGTGTTCAACATGGCCAAAGGCTCCAAGAGCAGCATGGTCAAGTGGTTGTTGTCAGGACTGCCCAGCACTGCGACCAAAAGGTTTACCAGTGCATTCCTGAGCTTGTAGTTTTGCTCCGCCCCTGCGCCACCAGCGGCACCGTCCCAGCCATCTCGGCCCACCAGCACCGCCGCTGCGAGGCTCGAAGACCTGAGGGCAGAGGTGTCGCAAAGCACGGCGGCCACGTGCGCGAGGCGCGGGTCTTGAAAGCCCAGCGCTTGCTGCAGAGCAGCATCTGACCGCAGTGCCTCTGCCAGGACTGGCTGGCTCTGCCCGCGCTTCAGCAGGCCACAGGCCGCAGCGTTTGCGAAGGCGTAGCGCCGGTCCTCGAGGCACAAGCCCGCAAGGGCCGCCTCGGCTGTTTGCGCAGAGGGCGCGAAGGTCTCGCTTGTCAGCCACGCGAGGATGGCTGAGTAGCCTGCTGGCTGGCGGGCCTCTGACAAGGTGGGGCGGTATGGTCGTGCCTGCGACCAATTGAACTCCCGGCCGCAACCTTCACCATGCTGGAGTCGCTGATGAGCGTGGTTTCCGCAAGTCATCACATCGCAGCCGGCGTTCTTTTCAATGATGCGGCCACAATGTGGGCAGCATCTGGCGTTCTGGGACGCGTGCATTTGATCCAGGCGCTCCTGTTCCTGATCCTCACGCTGGCGACGCAGCCTCTCATTCTCGAAGCCTGGCATTCCAGTGATGGGCAAGTCCTCCCATGGGTTCTCCCCAGCACCTTGGCAAGCCGCAAGCAAACCACTTCAGGCTGATAGCTGCATCCTCCAAAAGGTGCAGCCGCGAAGGAGCGACCCGAGCTTGCAAGGCTCTCTCCCTCTCTCTCTTTTTCTCTCTCACTCTATCTCTTGCACCAGAAGAGGACCCACATCTTGTTTGCTTGGGGCCCAAGAAGCACCAAGTCATGAAACCCCCCAAAAACACATTGCGGAAAAAAGGGAACACGTTTACATGTTTCAGCACGCATCCTTGAGGTGCGCATTCAGTTGCCCACAAAATCCGTGGCTTGCTTCAGCTGCCATAGATGAGTCTTTCTGGCTTGTCGTTCTATCTCATTGAGGGCGCGGCCTCCTGCCACCTCCGCCTTGGCCAGCGCGCCTTCCCAGGCTCGCACCGCTGGAGGCTTCTCCCCAACCAGCTGCCGAAGGGCTCTGGCAGCATTGGCCTTGGAGCCCGCGTGTCGCACCAGGCCGTCGAAGAAGTAAAGCAGCTCCTCAGAGCAATAAAAAAAGAGAAACAAGACAAAAAAAGTTGCCCATCTTCCACCCCAGAAACATCCAAAGCACCAAAAAAATTACATCTTCCGGCCCATTGAGCGCAACTCTTTGGCAGCTGTTTGAAGGCAAACTCCTCCTCCTCCCAGGACCCCAGCAGCTGCAGCAGCACCTGACCGTCTCGGGCGACCAAAGGCCGCACCGCCTGCGCCGCAGCCGCCTCCAGCAGCAAATGCCGCCGTGCCACCGCCCGCACTGAGGCGTAGGCATTGCCCGGGAGGGACGTCCGCTGGGCCTCCCTCCGCAGCTGTTCCAGGCAATTCCCCAGATCCAGCAGCTTGCGGCCCGTGGTTGAACGGAACGCAAAGTACAGGAGGTGCGGCAAGGAGCTGGGAGTGCCGTTGTCGCCCTGCCACTCCATCCAGGAACTGCATGGAAGCTGCTGGAAATTTGCCGCGCCCACCCGCTTGCAGAATTCTTGGCCGAGCTTCGGCTCCTGTCCTGTCTGGTGTGCCACCTCCAGCAAACCTTCAAAGGCGGACATACCAAACGCAGGTGTGATCAACTGGTAGCACTCCTTGAAGATTCCATTGCTATCGATGATCTCGAGCACAAAAGCAATCCCCTTCCCGAAATCCTCCATCTGCGGGCGTCTCAGAGACCAAAAGATGTCCTGCGCAAAAAGCTTCAGACGCCTTCCGATCCGAACTTCTCGATTACCGCCTCTCTTCCCAAAAAAACACCACACTTCCCAGCGCATTGCCCCTCTGCCCCTCCTCCAAGATGCGCTGCAAGGCTAAGCGCGCGTCCTGCGCCGCGTGGCCCGCCAGCCGCGCCAGACCCTGCAGGCACTGCTGCTGCTGGCTGCGGTGGTCCCGGTCCAGGCTGTCGAGGCTGTCGAGGCCATCGGCCAGGCCCCGCAGTAGGCGATGGCCATCGGAGTGCGGCAGCAGACACGGCAGCAAGTCGCTGAAGAAGGCCAGACCTGTCAGCTTGCCTCAGAGATCTCCCGCTCTCTCTCGCTATTCTTTCCCCAATCAGAAGAGGCCGCCTTCCAACCCGCACTTCTCTGGATCGAAAAAGAAGTTGTGCGCAGTTGGCAAGCAGCTTAAGGTCATCAAGACAAGATGCGATGTAGGGCCGGCGTAACCCCCAAGCGGTTCCTCAACAAGGCCCGGGCTGCTTGAAAAGACTGGTGCCAGGAATCCAACTGGGCCATCTGTTTGCTCTTGATCAGTGCTTTGAGCTGATTCTCCAACCTGAGCGTCGAGGGCATTTGAACTCTGGGAAGGGGGCCCGGCGAGAATTTCCGCAAGGAAGCCTTGCGATCCAGATTGGCAGCTTCCTACATCAAGTCTAGTGTATTCACCTCATTTGTAACAAATGGGATGTTGTTGTAGGCACATCAGCGTAAGGCTGTGTCAGTGTGCTGCTGAGCAAGCACACAACTCATGTACCATTTTGGAATCAGTGTCTGCAAATGCAACGCATTGACATGGCATTCAAACCTCATGGCTTAGCTAGGCCCAGTAGACATGTGTTAGTAGGTGCTTAAAAAGCAGTACGGGGGCGGTGACGATCATTTGGACGGTGTGACGGACGGGTGAACGAAGGGAGGACGACGAAAGGACGACAAGAGGACGACGGGAGGACGACGGAAGGACGACGGAAGGACGACGGAAGGACGACGGAAGGACGACGGAAGGACGACGGAGAGACGACGGAAGGACGACAAGAGGACGACGGGAGGACGACAGGACGACGATGGGAGGACAACAGGGGAAGGACGGTTTAAGCGGTGTCGTGAGCAACCAGTTCGCTATGCCGTGTAGAAATTTGTGAGATGATGACAGGAACAACCCGTCACCAGCGTGCGTTGCTATCACTGCTCTAATGTCTCAAAACTTCACTAAGTAATAGCCAGTACTATTTGTTTAATCATCATCAGAATCATTATGAAATGAACCGTCATATTAAACTTTAAAAACATTGATGTAAGTTGTAGAGCTTAGACTCAGGCTATACGATTCACGATTCACCCATATGGTTACTTCACTGGAACAGTAGAAATGCATTTTCGTACGGGTTCGCCTAGCCTGCCTGGCGTTCGCGAGAGGTTCACCTAACCTCCGTGGGTTTGCATAACGCCGCTTGCGTTCGAAAGCTTCGGCTGGGTTTTTGTTGCAAATTGTAGACGTTCCTTCGCAAACGTTGCACACCTTGGTCAGGTTCGCAAACGTTCGCAATGCCGTTTTGGGTTTCGCCTAAGCCATTCTAGTGCGCACACAGTCTACCGACCACATCCGTTTTGCCCCGAATGATTAGCAATATGAGTCGTGGTCAAATGGTCCATATGTGATTCAAACTTCGTACGCATATGAAAATCAATCAGAATCATAGTTCGTATAAGTTGTAGTCATAGGGATCGAGAAGTTATCTGTGCCGGCTATGGTTCTGAGTTAGGATATAAAACATCTATGATATTGAATCACGACATCATCATATGACTCATGACTCATGACTTGTGAGCAGTGACAACGCTATACATTGGCTAGACATCACGCGCATGAGTCGTATGACCTTTGTGATTTCTGCGGCACGTAAGACTTGACCAAAATGGCTAACTACTTACAACTTATAACTTCTAACTCTGGCTCACAACTTATGACAACCTTGTTGCGCTTATACTTCAACGCGTGCCTCATCATGACCCTTATGGCCAGCTCCAACCTGTCTCATGACGCTTGCCGTGTGGAGTCACGACTCATAACTCGTGACACTATCCATGATGCATGACTCATGGACTCATCGTCTATGACTCCGACATATCTGATGACTCACGGCTCACCCAGCACTAATACTACCACCCATGATCACTGGTTCACAAGTACAACCGACTATTGACTCATGACTCATGAAGCAGGAATCATGACTGAAGACGCTCATGTTTGGTGACATAGTTTGACACATCTGACTTAGAACCTATAGCTTACATCTTACCACTTACAACTTATGCCCCTGTGAACTCATATCTTATATCTCGTAGCTCGCAACTCCGGCTTGTACCTATGTGACAACTACTGCCTCTTAGGCATGCTTGCAAATAACAATGGGCCATTTGCGTGGACTGACATTGGTCATGTCACGCAACATGTGGAAGTGGAAGACATTGGAACGTTGTTGGCTACGCTGCGCTAGTGTTGCGCTAGCATCCTCGGAGTTTGCGGTAACACGAAGTGTGTTGAAACCGACATGGTGCAACATGGGCATCTCGCATTTATCTCGGAGGGCGTGCCTCACACCATGTGGTTCAGCTTCCCTACAACGCGGGCGCAACACGCTTTTGGGCCCTTGGCTTACTCGCTGCGGCTTGATCGAAATCTGAGGACTTCACGCTCATATGTTGGGAGTGTTGCAAACTGTTCACGCGCTCAGCCACCGTGCTCAGCAAGTATTGAGTCTAGAATCTTGATTCTTGAACGCTGTCAGGCTTGACAACCATGAGATCGAGCCGCGAGCATTGTGTTTCTAGTTTGGTTTTGTCTTTCGTTCAGAAGCAACAAGACTGCGTCACGCATGACCAAATTCTTAACAACTCTTACCTCCTGACTAGACTCTTAGCCAATCGACTAGCCTGGCAATCTTTCAACCATAAAACAACCTGTCAACCAATCAACCACTCACCCACCAAGCAACTTGGCAACCAACCGAGCCACGCAACTGATCAAGCAACCAATGAACCGACCAACTGACCAAATGCCCAGTCTGGCAGTGAACCTCGCAGTCAATCCCACCATACCAGTGTCAGCCCGTCAGACTCATGCACGCAGTGTAATCCCGACCACGCATATGCGACGGGTCTGGACAGCAAGATCCGCTTGGCTGAGTGTCTTGGCTGCAAGACGGGCGCCCTTTTACTGTTGTTGTATTTTACCCGTTCGCCGGATTGCCGCTAACACTTGAGCGAGTCCAGCAAGTGGGGACTAGCGTGGACAAGTGTGACTAAATCCCTTTTGTTTGCCGTTCGTTCAAGTTCTTTGATTTTGGTGTCGCCCCAAGGTACGTTCGCAAAACGATCAGGAATGCAGGCGTTGACTGTGCGACGCCAAGCAAGGCGGGGGATATTCCTTGTTGCTTTCTTTTCGGCGTACAGTAGAGGCACTCCTACACCATGGGCATGCGCTAATAATTTACCAACCCGAATTCCTAAATCCAAGACACACATTGCAATAATAAGCGGCCTCATGTTACAACTTGTAACTGGTGGTCTGAATCGTCGTACGATCTCTGTAAAACTTTGGCAACCATGCCGGCTATATTGGCCTGATAGTACGCACCTCCTTTTCTTGGGGGGAGGTTGGACATGTTGAGTTGGCTTGGGGGGGCAGACATCCGTCGGTCCATCGGCAAGCCATTGCGGCCGGCTATAGTTCTGTATGTTTACTGCTCCGCGTTGTGCGCAGGCACACCGCGCAGAAGTTTGAGGATGATGACGCTGTTCGAGCGCCGAGGCAACTGGAGGAGGAGTCGGCAGCAAGAAGGGGGGAGTTCCGGAAATGGCTGCCTCAAGCCATGCTTTGAGATGATGTCTGGTTGGAGCAATGCGCGATGCGTAGCTGCGGCATCCACACTGGTTTGCGCTGTTAAACTGACGATGCAACTCTGCACTGGTGGTTCTGGCAAAGACACGTTTTGTGAAGAAAGTCACATGGGTCATCATTCTATCATTTAGGCCATTGGGCCAAAGGCTATACTCTACTTGGTTTTCACATATTCACTCAGGTAGTGAGCACATACTCTTTAGCAGACTTACAGAGGCCACGTGGACTATGCAACACAGACTCATGACTAAACGACAAAAAAAGGCAATTGTCCTGGTTCTTGCTTCACGCCGTCTCAGTTCGCCATATCGGACAGGCGCCTTAGCGCGTTGCGTGGGCCCGTCAGGGCCACAGCCTAGGGATGCGATTGTACAAGTGCCGGACAGTTTGCCCAGAAGTTGGCGCCGGTAACTTATCTGCTTAGCCTGTCAGGCAGGCTGGCGGCGCAATAACAGTGACAGTGATGGTCATAGCAGTGGTAGTCCAGTGATAGTCGCGAGTCACGAGTCATGCTTCTGATACTTGATGCGAGTGTGTTTGCGTCAGGTTTTGATATGCAAACTGTAAATTATAGACTATAGACTAACCTCTAAATTAAAGAAGCCTTTGCTTGCCCTGCCCACTCGTTTGGAAGTGGTGTGTGACACATAGATCAGGCCGGGGCTAAGCGCCATCTTTACTGTAGTCGGCGCGTGTCTAGTTTATCCACGCTGCGCCCTTTTGCGGCCACGACGCTTCTCAGGTGTGCCGCCACACAGGTATAATATTCAATTCAAAGAACGCTTCCCTTTTCTTCCAGGGTCGCTGGGCAATCGGCAATCAGACAGCCATCTGCTTCTTTGTGTGTGCGCGTGCGTGTTGCACGTTGTTCTTGGGGCTGCCTTTAGCCGCGCTGCCCCGCTCTTGGTCTTGGGTGTGTTTGTGCGCGCTGTGTTTTTAGGGTCCGGCCTTTTCGCCATTCGCCGCGCCGCCTTGCTCTTTGTCTTTGGTTTGTGCGCGTTTGTAGCTTGAAGAAGAGAAGGGGGGGCGGGCGGTCATAATGAAACGATGGTTGCGTAGCAGACCGGCAATAGCAGTGTCAGTGAGTGGTCTGCAGCGCAGTGAAAAGAGAGACTTTGTCATCGGCTAGGTTTGGAGAGTGGAGGAGGATGGGCATGCATAATTGGACTGTGGCGTTATTGTGTCTATCCTATCTGGTTTGGGCCCCTAGGACTGGCCCACAAAACAGACCTTAAGGGCGCGCGAGCGCTGGGTGTACTGTGGGCCGGGCTGGGGCGTCCTTCTGTCGTCCACTTGTCGTCTCTCTGTCGTCGTCCCGTCGTCTGTCCGTCGTCCCGCCGTCCGTCCCCCGTCCTAAGGTCGGGTTTGGGCCCAAACCAGACCTTAGGACCGTCCTAAGGTCTGGTTTGACGGTCCTAAGGTCTGGTTTGGGCCCAAACCCGACCTTAGGACGGGTGTACGACGGGCGGACGACGGGCGCGCGACGGGTGTGCGACGGTTGGACGACGACATTTGTGCGACGGGCGGGGGCTCGGGCTGGGGGGTGGGGTGAGGCATCCCACCATCTGTTGTATGAGTTGCAAGCGCTAGACACTCAACATATGCTATATCTTGGGTGTTTGGCTTGCGTCGCGTGATTGAGTCATGAGATTTGTGGTCGGCCTAGTAGAGGGAG